GATTTTCCTGCTGTAATTGGACCACTAACAATTTGTCCTGTTCTGCATGTTCCCGAATGACTCCATACATCTTCATGTCGAGTCTTTGAGAGAAAACATCTACTTTCTTTATTTGTTCGGTAGTTTGTGAGTTTGAAGTTATATATGCTTCTTCTCTTGCGTTGTCTTGAGAATATACGATACGACCATTTGCAAGGATTTGATATCCAGCAACTGCATAGAAAGCGTCATCGAAACCAATCCAAAATCCTGGTGGGTTTGTTTTATTGAACCTGAACCAATTTCTTTATCTACAATAAATTGACCTTCCATTTTATACGTAATGAATGTATTGTAAAGGTCCAACATATTTTCACCAGGAGGTGAGAGATTGAATGTTACCCATGTGTTATCTTTAGCAGTTCCAGGTTGTGATGGAATCTTTGCGTCAGAATATTTTCTATTAGTGTCACCAATTTGAACTGCATTGTCTATGATATCGAAATATGAGCGAATCTGATGAATATGCTCTGCTGGAGTAAATTCGTTTTAACTGTTCGTTCTGCATGTTTTCATTCGATAAAAATATCTATTTACTTCATTATTCTCACTCTTCTTCTTGGCATTCGTGGTGGAAGTTGTTTCTTGACATTTTCAATGAACTGTACATTCTCTTTTGTCTCAACTTCTTTCACTGGTGGGTCAGGGTTCTTTGACTCGGTTTGTTTTCAATGAAATTCACAAACTTTGCAATAAGCTCTTGGTTCGTTATTGAAAGTACATCTGGCTTCTTTTCTTCTTGTTCTATTGACTTTTCAGTTTGAAAAGAAGGTTTTTATTATGGGCTTCACCCCTGCCATCACCTTAATGTTGTCGCTTCTGCATTCGCTAATGGAACCTTTCTTTTTTCTACATATATTTACCATCTTTACTCTGACTTACGTAATAGAAAGGATGTTGTATTCCTCTTGCGTCATTTAATATAATAGACTCTCGCTCTGATTTTGACAAGCTCATTTTACATCGGTTTAAGTTTTAATTTTGTTTTTTATCTGCAGTCAAATGACTCAACAAACCCTACGGACAAGACCCAAGGGGTCATAGATGTTGAAGCATTGAAGAAAGAATTCGGGAGCAAATTTTATCCGAACTGAAGGAACAAAAACAAGAACAAAAGCCAGAGAGACCAAAGAGAAAACTTAGTGAAAAACAACTGCTGCATTAGCTGCTGGAAGACAAAGAACCCACGTTTGCTGCGAAGAAAGCTAGAGAAGAAGCTGAAGCAAAAGCTAAAGAAGCTGAAGCAAAGAAAGAGTAAATGGTTTATTTTTATCCGAATTAAATGTATAGACAAATACCTTTATCTGTTGCGTTCAGTAGTGAAAACCCTGACGTCAAAATAAAGGGAACAGAGTAACGTTTAAGTTTCCAACAGACTGGATTGTGAACATAAATGAAGGAAGTACATTGGCATAACATATGTATATAACACGTGCTTTCAGAAAGGTTGACTTTATACTTCAAGTCGAGATAGAAAATGACGAACAGTCTTTAAGCGCCCAAAACATTCACATATACAAATACTTTAAAGACGATACACATGTTGCAATGTATGATTCATTTAATAGATTTCAAAAAAGTTAACATTGAAGTACAAACTTTACAGCCTTTACGTGATTTCTTGCACAAACTGAAAGAAGAAGGTAGATAGAAATTAATAGCTTTCATTATGAATTTAATGAAAATGAAGATGGAACATGACTGTCATTTTGTATTCTCACCATTCAATGAAGTGCTAAAGAGAAAAAAATCCATTACGTATAAGATTTCAAATCTCTGAACCAAGTGATGATTTCAAGAATGTTTTCAATTATGATGCAATGCTTCCGAGGAAAAATGAATTTTCCAAATAGATTTCAGGATTTGGATAGAAAGCAAGCTATATTATATTCAAACTTAAGTAAGGGAGTTGAAAATGAGTTCATTGGTCATACAAAGAACTTCACCACTTCCTAACCCTAAATACTATAAATTAACTGGCTTCAATCGTGAGTTTTGGATAGACATGTTCTCCACTCATGACCATAAAGCCCGTGTTTTACCTCCAGACCATAAGGACTGTCTCTACATTGAAGCACAACTCTTAAACTCTACCATCGCAGTATTGTAAAATCTCACGCTTGTTTATTTTTTCTAAATTTTTATTTGAGTGAAAGGCATGGAAGGTGAAGGACATTGGCAAACACTCGAACATGACAATGGACTATGAAATCTTTTCAGAGTACCCTTATCCAATTAGACGTATAAGCAATAAAAGAGTTGTTAGTGAGTTTGACCAAGGAGATGGTTATATTTGTGTAAATTTAAAACAACACAAGCTGATGAAACATAGAATAGTTGCAGAAACTTTCATTCCGAAACCCTGAAGGGGACTTCGTGAAGTAGACCATATAAAGCAGAGACAGAGGAGACTTTCATATCTCGAACTTAAGAATGGACGACAAGAAGAGAAAACATGAGAAATATTTCTGGTTCAAAATGGCTATTTTTGGTTTGACATTGTTGACTCTCTTCCTGAAGACGCTGTTGAAATTATACAAATACTCATATCACACAGTTAGAGAAACTACTACTATGTCCCAAGTTGAAGATGTCTTTTATTATTTCATGGAACTCAATACAGACGAATGAATGTCTTAAGACAGTATAACAAAGATTATATAAACATTACAGATGTAGAAGGAAGAAGATACAAAGCTGTTCTATTGCAAAGTTTAAGAGAGAACAATGGTTATACATAAATGACAAAAAATATGACCTCATTATTTTTATCACGAATGACCTCATATGCTGACAAAATAAATGACCTCAGAACTTCAACTTACGAATAAAGCTTGTTTTAGTCTTTATTGAAGAAGTAAACTTTTCAGCAAAGCAAGGACTAGAAGACTTACATAAGTCAAATCCAATTCTCGTTGACCATCATGAAGTGCTTTGTAAAGTTTCATTAAACTGAACTCAGAGGCTTTGTCATATGTTTCCAACAGGTATGTGAATGTTCTTATCTTCATTGAATAGCAATTGTATAGATTCAGGAAAACATTCATTGCTGTTTTAAAGGCAAGGACGTCTTGTTTGCACCTTTTGCAACGTGCATGAATGCAACTTCATTTTAAATCATTCGTGATAAGTTCTATGTAAGTCTCTTTCCACCAAAATATGACTGTTAGTGCTAAACTTGTTTTCACCAGGTGTTATTTTCTGCAAGTCAGAATGAAATTGACCAGGTTCCTTTCCTATAAGTTCGCGACCGTAATCTCTTCTTAAACTTCTGCTGCAAAGCTTTGTATGTCTTCATTGAAAAATATGCATTGGCTTCACAGTCCTGGTAAAATATTTATAGTCCCATATCTTCAGCAGTACGAACATACTTCACACAATTATTCTTCTTCGACATTGATAGAATATTTACACCAAGTGGCAAAAGTTAAAGTGTCTGCAAATGCTTTTTCGTTAGCTTGAAAATAGTTTTATTCTTGAAACCCATCCAAACCTTCGAACTTCACTATATGGTTGAGTTTATGTGGCATTATCTTATAGCATCTTTTGCTCATTTACTATTGGTATTTTTGACTCAATAGGAGGATAGAATATAGTTTTGCCATAAATACTGTTCAGACATTTGAGCTTTATATTTTCTTGCAAAGAAATTCCTCTCTTACAGTGGGATTGCTGCTCTAAGTCCTAGGTTCGAGACACATTGGCTTCATTTTTCTCTTTTTTATTGACGTAAACTATTCAATTTTTGTGTTCTCCATTCAAATTTCAGAATTTTTTTTGCAGATTTCACGCTACATTCGAAGTTACCTTTTGTAACAACCACCACTGCCTACGAAAGACGAAAGTGTGTCACGATTTCACCCGGAAATCCGACGGTTGTTTAAGAGTAAGCACTTTTGGCACCTACTCTTTGAATAAAAAGTGTGTTGTTTATCCATACATTATGACTGCCTAGAATATTTAATAGACCTGAGGATATGCATTTATTATTTGTGAAATTAAAATGATTTAAGAAAACCGAACCTTTTTGTAAAGTTAGTGTTGTTTTACTATCTGCTGTTTGATCTGCATTCTGAAATACACTGGAAAATAAAACGTGGTTTTTACTTTGATCCGAATTTTTACATTCAAAATAAGCTGCAGTACCATCTTTATTCGTTCCGAACATATTAGATTTTAATATACAGCTTTTAGAAAATACTATACTATTCCCGTTGAAGAAAATTGAGCCCCCTTGGTTATTATCAGAAGATGAACATTCATTTATTGTCGTCGATTCAATTAATAGTATAGGAAAATCTTGGTATGATATATAGACAGCTCGGCTATTTAATCCTGAAAACATTGACTGAGAAACATAATAATTTTGCCCATCAGTTTTCGAAAACAACTGATCACGATTCGTTACTTCCTGATATGTATCTCCATTACTGTAATAATCAGTCCATTCACAGTTCAGTCTGAAAAAAGGAAAGATATTCTTAAATAAATTCATGAATGTACCTTGTTTTTTTTACGATTTTTTGAAAGAAAATTGACAAATTTTTATAAAAAAATTTCCCCGTGAAAATCGAAATTCATGATATAATAGTATCATAGACTCAATTTTATTTTATGAAATAACCGCAAAAAATTTTATAAATTAAAGAATTCTGAATAATGATAACAAAGAAAAGTGAATCAAATTAGAGTATACTCTAAAACCGCTTTTACAATCCGAATTAATTCAATGAAAACAGTTCGGTTAAGAATTAATGTTTTTGCATGTTTTAATCATTTAGATGACTTTTATTAAATAATATAAACTCTTACTTTTGAGATTAATGTGAAATTCCAGGCTTGTATCATAATACTAAAACATGATATTTTATTTGAGTACTAATAAAACAAAATTTTCAATTATTCATCGAGTTCTCTCAATTTGATTTCAGAACCTACTAAAATTTTTTTATATTTCAAGATTAGCTCATCGAACTATAACCAAGAAGGGCTACTAATCCGACATGATGTTTTCCACTTCTATCATCAAACGTGTTATCAGCCTTTTTATTCACATAAAAAGCACATTTATTTTCAACTGGTAATTCAACAGTTGGAGTCGGATCGGGACAAGCAAATTTGGCGGTTCCAACAGAGATAATTCCATTTGCTGCAATACCTGCACATATATATCCATCTCCAAAATAAACGTTTCCAGTTGAAACTATCACATTTGCATGAGTTTCATCCATTACTACATAATTTAATAAATAAAACTCAGGACTAGGTAATGAAAACATAAGTTTGTCACCATCATCTGCTGCACATACATTATCTTTAAGTAAAAATTCATAAAATCCTACATTTTCGAGAACACCAGCAATTCCTTCATCGTTATTTTCTATAATGTTTGTATTGTTTATCCATGCGCTATCGTTACCTATCATGGTGATTAGACCAGAGGATATGCATTTATTTTCTGTGAAATTTAAATAATTAAAGAGAATAGAGCCCTTTTGCAAAATAAGTGTTGATCCGCTGTTGTCTGTTTGATCTGCGTTCTGAAACACATTTGAAAGTAAAATATTGTTTTTGCTTTGACTTGAATTTTTACATTCAGTATAAGCCGCAGTTCCATCTTTATTCGTACCAAACATATTAGATTTTAACAAACAACATTTAGATAATATGAAACTATTACCATCGAAGAAAATAGAACCTCCTTTGTTGTTATCTGAGGATGAGCAATCAATTATTGATGCAGATTCAACCAAAATCAGTGGTCCATCTTTGTATGATATGTAGATCGCTCTATTATGTAATTTTGAAAAAGTTGACTGAGTAATATAAAAATTAAGATCAATTGTTTTTGAAAACAATTGATTTGGACTTTTTACTTTGATATATGAATTTGCAGTGCTGAAATAATCATCCCATTGGTAGTTCATTCTGGAAAACGCAAGCATGATCGTGACGGAAATCATAAGATTAAAATAATAAAACTGATTTTTTTTGAGAGAAAATTGGTTTAATTTATCGAAAATGAAATAACTTAAATTTATCAAATTAAATAATTTATGTAACCAAAAACTCGATAGTAAAATAAAAAATTCGAAAGGTGATTATTTTATAGTCAAATTCATTTATTTTTGATGCTTCTCTCAAAAAATAAAAAATCTTTTTGTTAAATCAACATACTTTCAAAAGAATAGTAAACTTACCGGAATTGTCATATTTTTATGAAAGTCACTTTTCAATCTGAAATACTTCAATTTTTATCGTTCAAATATTGAATGAAATAGGAAATCATCATTTTTGATTGCATTTTTTATATTATGCATATCAGGATCATTTGGATGGAACAATCATTCATAATCGTAATTACTCGTTATCAATTGATTAAGATTATTCAAAAATTTCTTACAAGCATTCAATTAATTAACCTTACAAAAATACAATTTCGTTTTGCCAACTAAATACACATTTTTTTAAAAAAAAAACTCGAAACTTTATTCGGTTCAAAAAGCAAGCATTTCTTTTTGGAATAGTTTAAGTAGCGAAGAATTGAATAGTTCTTGATGTTCAACTCCAAAAAATGCAAAATTCTTTGTTATGAGGTTTTATGATGCTTATTTTATCTCACTCTCACAACTTGCAAAAACACATACCGCTTATCCTTTATATAGATTCATTGGAAATTCTCAAAAAATCGATTGGTAGGGTTTCAACGTTGGTGAGTTTGTTGTTACAATTGTCCTCATGATTAAACTATATTTATTGAGAATTTTCTTTTTTTTAAGGGTGCCCCCGTATGTACGTTTATTTGAGAGGAGGAGGATTATATTTTTGAAAGGGTGAAACATTATGAATGTGTTAATTATATAATAATATATATTATTATAAAAAAGAAAAAATAAAGCACGTTAAAATTTTTCTTTCTTGATTTTTTACAAAATCTACTTAGAATTATGCAAAATATGACTAAATAATTATAAATTTCAAGTTAAATTTTAATTTTGATAAATAATTTAAATTTCAAAATATCAAGTTCAGTTCGACTATGTATGTAGTAATTCCTCAATAAAGTGCCAAAACCCTATTAAAATATATGAACATTTTCAACATTTTAATGTTTTTATTTAAAAATTTGATGGAATATGAGCTTCAAACAATTATTATGTAAATAAAAATAATTAAATATATGTATTTATTCGTATTACAACCGTAGTAAGTCGATTCTTCCTTTCTTCTACTGAGATTTGAATTTGATTTCGAATTGTAAAGAGATTCAAAGGGAAAATACTAGCGGATAAAAACTACCTCCATGAAAGGCTCATAATGGAGTCAAGTTGTATTTTTTGATATTTTTTGCTTTTCGAGCCTAAATAGGTAGCCAAGATAATGCCTAAAAATAAGGTTCTAAATTCTGAAGTTTACATGATCCTCTCGTGTGCACCCTTAAAAAATTCAATTTTTTATATTACAGAGATTTCATGTTTAAACCACGTATTCCTTTTGATCCATTCTTTATCATAATGCAAATATGTGCTATGCAGTGCACATTTTATGCATTATACACTTTTATTGTATTGGTTCTTGATTTTTTATTCAAATTACCCTTCTCCGAGGAACAAATAAGTAATTTCTATGTAATTGCACTTAGTAACAAGTATTATCTTATATCTTCTTTCGCATATCTACTTGCATTTTCCTTATTGGGGATAGCCTATTACTTTATTATTGGAAAATCTCGAAATGCACTTGATTTCATTTCGACAACATTTATTTTACATGTAATCTTTATTACAATTCATAGTTCTTTCCCAATTAGGTTGATATGGTGGATCATTTCCGTCATTTTGGTAATTATTTCTACAATTATTGCAATCTCAATATCTCTTACATTTGAAATGCAATCAATCAACGTTGATACCACGGTTTTAGGGCAAAATGTATAAAACTTTTGCAATTTTAAACAAAAACAATCTCATCCCAACGTGTCACAACAAGCTTATATATACGTATTACTTATTTCTTATAATTTATTGTACAAATTGAATGATTTCCATTCATTTTGCACTAATTTTCGAATGATTTCCATTCATTTTAATCAAGTGCGTTAACTTACATATGCTCACCTCAAGTATATTAGCGTATTAATGTATAGAGAGCAACAAATTTCAACAATATCTACTCATACATTTTTGCAGTCATCCATTGTATATTTAGCCATTATCCATCATTAGGCATTACTGGATGCTTAAATATTTCTCATAATAAATTGATAATTTTTTTTTAATTTCATTTTTTTAAACCAATTCATATTAATATTAACCCGTGACTTAATATATTTGTTAATGAATTTGATATCGAATAACTCGGAAATCGAAATTGCTACCAATGCAGCCAAACCATCTGAATCTGACAGAATGATTAGTAAGGATTATAATAAGAGATCCATATATACTTAGGAATACTTCTTGTATAAACAATTCTTTTATTCACGCCAATCAAAAATTTGACACATTTAAATGAATTGGGGATTAAAGAAGGAAGGAAATAACCCACTTCCGAATCTTGGAGCAAAATCATTTTCCTTTTCGAAAGATAAACTTGTAGCTCCACTTAAAGCAAAAGATAATCCAATATCATATCATTTTGGTACAGGAGTAACTTTTACATCATCGATGGATCCTAAAAAGCCATTCGAAGCTGCATCATTCAATTTTCAATCACCTGTAAATGGTTTAAAGTTAAATGTTCGTCAAGCATCAAAAGAAAAGGTAGAAAACAATCCAAATGAAGAAGGAGATGATTCACAAATGGGATATGAAAATACTTTTGAAGAAAAAGGCCCTAGTGGCGAAGAAAACGACGAAATTTTAATGGATTGCAAAGCTATGCTTCACGAATTGGTTGTTGGAAAAAACAAGTCATCCTCTTGGGCTGAGCGTGGCTCCGGTAATTTGCACTTCAATAAGTCAGAAGGAGGATATCGACTTACAATGAGACGCCAGCAATTGAAGACACCATGCCTCAATGCTAGATTGTTCAAAGGAATGCATGTTGAGCCAGTAAAAACCAATAAAATTAAATTTAATGCAGTCAAAATCGAAAAAGATCAACAAACATTGGCTACATATTTACTTACCGTTAATACAGCCGATAGAGATCCATTACTTACAAAAATCCAAGATGCTCTTAAAACACTCTAATTATTTATTTTTATTATTATAAAAAATTGTAATTATGATTAAAAGGTTTTATCTATTTACTCTAGCACTAATATTATTTATTTTTATTATTATAAAAAATTGTAGTTATGATTTGAAATTAATAACTAATAATATATGTGTAAAAGTCTCATATTTCTGGACAAATGTACAATTAATCTATTACTTGGAAGCATTATCATATAGTGATATCTCAAATAGGTGATGATTAATGCAAAAAAGTTGTGATATTGAAATTATTTTAAAAATTAAGAATGTTTAACAAAATAACAACACACAATTCCATTTTATTCAAGATTACATAACAAATATCTAATTTACGCGAGCTGGTTTTGGAACTGGAGAATTAACGTTCAAAAAGACTGGTCTTTGATTGTTATCAAAGAGCTGAGTCTTCACATTATTCGCAACCTTGATTATTAGGAAGATAAAAGTGATAACAATGACAAATTTCGTTGAAAATGACATTTCTATGAACATTCCTTCGTAAGTCTGCTGTATTAATATATCTATTTCCAGGGAAATCCTTCTGTTAATTCTTTTGAAAAGAGATTCGTTGTTTTTCTCAACTGCATAACTATAATAAGCTCTAGCAACTTCTGGAGGCTCAGAATTATGGGAATAATAGTAGCTACTAATAGGATATTTATCAATGATTGAAAGAATCTTCGGATCCAAGTGTTTGTTCTTATAAAATTTATTTTCTGTTGTAGAGTTACAGAAAAGCTTCTCAAGCTTGAGAACTTGGTTAATATCCATCTTCCTTTTTGATGTTATGTACTTAAGAAGCTTCAATGCATGGCAATTTCCCATTAATGACATTCTTTCCAATAAAAACTGAGCGCTGTCCCAATAACCTTCTCTCATCATCTCTTCGGCAACAATGATATCACTAAATACAGGTGAAACGTCCAAAAACTTTCGCAAATCAACGTATTTCTTACTGATCGAAGAATTTCTTAGAGAAACATCATCTATAAAGGCTTCTATAAGACTATCTTCAAAGTAATCGTATTCTAAACCAATTTCTGGCATTTTCAAGTCTTCAAAGAAGAGATTTAAGAAAATAGCCAATTCAGAAAAGAAAATATCGCCATCATCTGAAAGAGACTTGATCAGTGGCACGGCATCAGATGCCCTAGTACCATTTGCAAGTCCAAATAATTGTATAATGGCAGATAACTGAGTATTAAACTTACTTTGCTTTTTGTAGCAGTTGTTGAGTATATACGTATAATTTGTTGTGTTTGGATTATCATTTTCTAAAAGAATCTTCATAGTTTGGCCTATGCTTCCTGCAGAATCCGCTTTTTTGTTGAGATCATTTAAAAATAATTGACGAACCCGTGAATATTTCAGCAAATAATTATCGGAATCAGGTATTTCTTGCCATGTCTTACTGGAAATCAAAAATTTGTCCATTATTCTTTCGATTTTTAGAATATTATCTTCTTTGATAATGGAATCAATGTATTCTGTATTTATCTTTGCTCTTAATGGGTCTGCTGTGTATTCCAGAAACGCAAGTCTCGTAATTTGGTTAATTAATAAATAATTTTCGTAATCAACAAAATCAACTGCATGGTGAAGGGCTATGTGGAGTAGATGGCAAAAAATAGAATCTGATTGATAATGATCGTAAATTTTCAATGCATCGAAAATAGTGATATTTGGCGTATGAAAATACTCTAATTGAACAAGTATATCTGCACAATGCTGATTTGTACTTGCACATTTTTCAAATAAACTTGAAATTGCTGAAATAAGATCTCGTTTTTGATAATTACCATTTTGATTAATAAAGTAAGTAGCTACAAGGAAACATGACTCATTTTTATAATGAGAACAATATTCAACGTGGTCATTTAAGTTAAATGAACTGTTTAAAAAATCTTCGGAAAATTGTTGAGGGCTCAAAGACATGCGCCTAGCTGTACTAAGTAACCTAGGAATTATGACAGGCCATGTTCTTTCTAAAAGTAAAAACGAAAGCATGATAATTTTTGTTTTAGAAAAGAATGAGAAAAAGTGACAAAAATAATCATCTGATATGATGATTAGATTTAAGGCTCTTTTGAAAGAATCTATTTTACAATATATCTTCTACACTCTGAAGGACTTCTATCCAATTAGCATAAGCAATATCTTCATTTGAATTACAATTCAAAAAAATATTTAGCTATCCATGCTCATTCTGTTGAGATAATTAATCACGCTATCACTTAACAATCATCCGACCATTTAAAATCCAACTGATTTGGATATAAAATCAGACAAGATTTTATCCAGTTAATTCGATCTAAATATATAACTAGTGACAATTAGTATAGTAATTTTAATATATTATATATATCAAATTTTTATTTGTAACAAAAAAATACTTATATTTTCTAATTCTTTATACCTAAAAGCGCTGCATTCTTTTTCTGTGCATCTAACAGAGCTGTATAAAGATTTTCGGTGTATTCTGGCTTCGATGGAGGACTAGTCACAGTTATTTTTACTTTTTTGGGCTCTTGGTTCTCAGTTAATTGAGCGAAATCATATGTTTCATATTCTATCACGTGATATTTTACTCCTTTTTGCTCTCCTTCTTTATAATTAAATTGGATATCCGGATTAACATAATGATTAAGAAGAACTCTTTCATGATTATCTCTGAACAGAACACGATATCTACCATTTTCCTTATTTTTTAAGATTCTAAATTTTCCACCTACCTTTTCTGTTGGAGAAAAGATAATAATAACCAAAACAGTTATTATGATTTCTTGATCACTGTCATAACCCATTGAATTAAATAAATTAAGTGCTTCTTCGATTTTATCACCCATAATGCAAATGGCACTTTTATATAATTGAAATTTTGATTCTCAATTTTGAAATAGTGGAAATTATTGGAAAAATTCGAATGATAACATTTTATGCAAATCATTTTTTTTGAGAGATTATAAATATTCCATGATTTTGAAATCATAATTCCCATTTTTACATGATATATTGTTGCATGCTAAGTTCGGTCAACGATAGAAATTGAGTGGAAATTAATCGTCGAGAAAGTACGATTATGTAAAGTAAAAAAATGTTGTGGGATTTTTAATATTATATATTATTTTATAATAAATTTTTTTTGAGTCGTTTTAAGAAGCACATATAATTTTTTGAATTTAAAAATTAAAGTAGTGTCAAACGAATTTATCACTTAATTTAATACTAAGATTTCTTAAAATTAATGAAAAAAAGGTTTTCTGAAAACTTTTGAGAATGGTTTTCAAATTCCATTATTGAAAATATATAGGTATTGTATGAAATTCAAACTCTATATTTATTAAAATTCTAAATTTTTAATAAAATAACTTTTCAGAGGAATATGATTTTGAATGGTTGATTAATAAGTATAAAAATGTCTACGATTTTAAGGAGGGAATTGTTCCTTATGAGGTATACATCATAACTATATACCTCATAAGGAACAATTCCCTCTTGATAGCTGGGAAACTTTCTCTGAATAACTTATCATTTGGAGAAAGTTTCCCAGCTATCTATTAGAAACTAAAGGCTGTGAGGCACTAATATATAATCAGTGCCTCATAGCCTTTAGTTTGTTATTAAAAACGAGAAAACTTGTTCGAAATGATAAACAATTTCGAACAAGTTTTCTCATTTTAAGGAGGGAATTGTTCCTTATGAGGTATACATCATAACTATATACCTCATAAGGAACAATTCCCTCTTGATATCCTGGATATTTTTGAATATATTTTTTTAATTAAAGTTCTCAAAAGTAGGCAAACCCAAATTTTAGCTAAAAGTGACAGGGAAAAAAAACGTTTAGTATTAAAAAAAAGACCGATGAGAGCTTCGTTCGAAATATAGAGGGAACTGAGAATGCGCAACCATTCTCAGGGAATATTGGATGCTATTCCCGTTCCCTCTGTATGGAAAATTGAGGTTTTCAAAGGGAGTTAAAATAATATCAAATTTATACTAATTTACTTCAAAATACAAAAGTATTTGACAGCTAAAATTAGTTACTTTAGCAAGCCTATCAATACCCTTTTACGATTATTGCTACTTTTTCGAAATAAAAGTAAAAACAAATTTATACTAATTTACTTCAAAATACAAAAGTATTTGACAGCTAAAATTAGTTACTTTAGCAAGCCTATCAATACCCTTTTACGATTATTGCTACTTTTTCGAAATAAAAGTAAAAACAAATTTATACTAATTTACTTCAAAATACAAAAGTATTTGACAGCTAAAATTAGTTACTTTAGCAAGCCTATCAATACCCTTTTACGATTATTGCTACTTTTTCGAAATAAAATAAATTTATTATCAAAAACCTTTTTTTCTTAGTAAAAATAAAAATGTTATTTTATATCAAGTTTTTATTCATAAATTTTTATAATGTTGTATAAATTTGAAGGTGGAAATCTGTAATAATTTTATCTTGAAAAGACTTGGCATTCTCAACAATGAATTGAGGGGTATTGCATCCAAATTCTGTAATTTGCGTGAGAATACTAAGCTTGATTTCCATTGGGATACTTAATTTCGAAAAATACTGGGTCATTCGTTTTTGAACCTTTGCTGCCTTGACAACTTTATCAAGTAGGTCATCTAAACCCAATTGAAGCGTATTTAAGTTTGCTGATGAGTTAACTATTAACGATTTAATTTTATCAGTGAGCATTATACATTTTTCTGTATCCAGTCTGATTGTAGACTTTTTTGGCTTTTTTTCAGATGGCAACGGATTTGGAATTTTGTCTCTGAGCCTTATATCTTGAGAAATTCTGTAATAAAATGAAGGAACGATAAAATCGATTAATTTCATCACAAATCGATCAAATCTCATGAAAATTGTTCCGCCAAAGTAGTAATATTTAATTTTTTTGTTAATCGATTCTGAAATGTTATTTGTGAGAGCTAAATTTTCATCTCTTTCAGCGGCTGTCCATCTTTCTTGGTTTGATATCCATTGATTTTGTATGTATTTTGAAAATTCTGGGAATTTTTCGGCTATTTCCAGAATTTTTTTGAACGTTGGTTCAATCCATTCTTTCTTGCCATTTCTGCCGTATGCAAGATAGTTCATTTTTGTATCTAATATCAATTTGTCTGAACTCTCAAATGCATAATCTTTCAAATTTTTTCTGAACACCCTCATTACATGAACTGCACACCAATGAAGGATAACTTCTGGAAAAGAGTTGATAATCGCATTTTCGATTTCTTGTGCACAATCTGACATAAAATATTTTGGTTTTACTTTTGCCCAGTTAAAAAATGCCTTGAGACAGAATGCAATATTTTCTGAAGTGTTTGGATAAACGACAAATTGAAAAATTGGGAATGCATGTGTATTTGGAAATTTGGCTGATATCATGTAAAACAACATTTTAAATTCAAGTAATGAATGGGTTGCATCAATAAAATGCTCTTTCACAATTTTGATTATGTCCAGAAATTTGAAAGAAGCATAATAAAAGATTAATTTCTTTGGTTTGTTGTAATTATCGACATCGAAATAAATTAAATCTTTTGGTGACTCTTGTTCTTTGATACCCTTAAATAATTGAGTTGACTTGAATTGATTATCATCGTACTTTTGAATACCTTTGATCTTTTTATTTAGTTAGTATACATATCATGTGTACGGAGGCACTGCGAGCCTCCTTACCCATTATATGTGAATTTGACACTTTACAAAACCGTTAACGCATATTTTACAACACAAACACAAACACCAACTTAACCTTAAATATTTATAAAGCCGCCAACCACTTCACCTCACTAACGTTTTCACAAACGACTTCACTACTGTAAAAAATAAACGTTCTCACTTACAAAAGTATTGCAACTCTTCCCATTGCTGTGCTTCACACAATAATTCATATTCTTCAGTATCGCTGCTGTCGCTCCAATCGTCAGAGTCAAAGTCACTGTCAAAATAAATGTTAGTAAGTTTTGACAAAGCTAATGAAACACGTTTACCGTTTGTATCGTATGCTTGTATAAACTTTCCATTCTTCATTCCTTCGTAAACGCTCAAACTAACTTTACCCTTTCTCCCTCGTATCTGATAGAATGTATTTTCACGAGGAACGAAGAACAAATTCTTGAACTCATGACCGTTGTAGTTTGTTATCTCAATAGTTTTCGTCATTTATATAAAAATAAACTTAAAAATAAAATAAAAAATAAACTTAAAAATAAATGATATCACCACCCTCACACGTATGAAAACATAGCACAAAAATAAATTTAGGGTAGAAGGTTAGATCTAACCCGATTTCTAACCTCATTTCTACCCTGTTGAATTCATTGCTTTATAACTCTCTTCCTTGGTTTCTTTTTAGTTGCTTTCTTAACATCTGTCTCCAACTTGACTGTCTTTCTTCTTCGTCCGTAATGATACCAATTACTTCCACCAGTCAATGGGTCAAATGGTCTTTCGTAAGGGTTTCCATACATTCCATAGGGACCATACGGAAGAACTGCTGGTGGAAGTTGTGGAGAAGAAACATTTTCTTTAGTTCCATCGACTCTATTTAAATGCATTGTTTCACCTTTCATCTGGTCATTAAAGTCTTTTGCGTGTTTTGCAAACTCATCGTCCTTTCCTAAAGCATTTTCTGACTCAGTCGCAACTAAATTGGATGCTTTATTTATGAGCCCTATTTTATTTAATCTTAACTTCTTTGCAACCCAGCCTCCAATCTTTCCTTTATTTGCATCTAATGTCTTTGAAACCCTTCCTCCACTCATTTTATTTACTGCGTCATAAGCTCCAAGTGCTTTTGCTCCAAATGCTAATGCTTTTGTTCCCATTGCGCCTAAAGCTGCCCAAGCTACCATTTACACCATATTAAAATCATCTCTCTTCAATATTATCTCATAAAAGTTCTCGTTACTGGAGAAAGTCAATGAAACATAAACGTTCTCACGGGCTTCGCCCTCACCGCTTTGCGGTCTATCTAACTTATTTCTTATATCATCTATACGCTTCAAAATGTCTGAACAATTGCTAACATCTTCTACAACAGTTATTTCATCATGAATGACCTTCAAGAACAAGCTCATTTAATATGCTATTAAAATCATCTCAATAATGAGTCCATCCTTTCCATCTTTAGGTAGCACAACATCTTTCATTGAAGAAGGTTCGACAAGTCTTATGTTAAACTTACTGACAAAGTTTGTTATACTATATAATGCTTCGGCGGCGAATACATATAGTTTGAAAGACATAATATAGATTCTTCAGCAAATTCACTTATACTGGATTTTATAACAATGTTCTCACGAGACCAAATACCATCAATTGACAATCTTGTAAGCAATCCTGCTGAACCTTCTACTGTAAACGTCGATGGTAACATTCCACGAAGGTCATCTATTGACATCTTTGAGTCACTGAATTTAAATATTTTCTTAAAGCAATCGTCATTATCTAACCATGCAATAGCTTTGAAGTTTTCATTCGAATATACATCTGCTGCATTAAATGTAAAACCTGACTTCTTTGCAGAGACGACTTTAAAATCTATTGAGTTTGTTTCAAAATTATATGCTATGGTAACTTCTGAAGGTAATGGATGCCCTTCCGCAGTCAGTTGTTCTCTCACTACCGTTTGAAGCTTTGTATTAAAAACTTTCATGTCATCTCCTGTATCTAAGTTCACATACACAGCAACAGGAAAACTATCTTGCTTCTTTGTTTCATCATTATACCTCAAAACATTAAAGTTCTTCAATAATATTGTTCTTCCTGCTGGAATACTTCGTCTTATTTCAATAGCTTTCTCACCTCCTACATACTCTACCCAGTGTCTTGGATATTCATAAGTATACTGACTTTCTTGAATTTTGGTTGGTTTCATCATAACGTGTTCATAGTATATCTTTATACTCTTGTCAGTTAGACTCGGTGCTATGTTCTGAATATTTCTGACTTGCATTTTTAATGGAGATAAAATGAAGCATTTAATACATGACGTAGATGAAGACATGAATGAAACTACAGACAAACTTAACTCTTCTCTTATTCTTCCTTTCAGCAAAGATTATGAATTCTGTTCAAATGGTGTGTATTTCTATTGTGGAAAGATGGGTTCAGGTAAGACATTTAACCTCATTCGTCATATACTCATAACAGAGCGTTTAGGAAACGACTCATATTATGACCAAATCATTATATCAGCAACTTCAGACTCTATGGACTCAACAGCGAAAACATTTATGTCAAAAGTTCAAGCCTCTGTCGTTAAAGTTCCAGATAGCGAACTCATTGAATTTCTTCAACGTTACATTCGACGTAAGAGGAAATATTATGCTATCGTAGAGTTCATACAGTCAGGAATGCAAAAGACTTCTGAAGAGATGGAAAGAATTATTGACAAACACCACTTACGTCAGTACTCAGGAGTTTACGATATGAAACGACTTACAAACTACATTCTATCAAAACTTTCAAAATACCCCTTCAAAAAATATCCTTCAAACACTCTGCTCGTTTGCGGCGACTTCGCCGGAAAAGGTTTAGTTTCAAAACCAGACTCACCATTAGCTAACATCATTACTAAAGTCAGACATTACCATTTAACTGTAGCAATACTTATGCAAACATGGAGGTTTTTAGCTTTAAACATAAAACGTCTCATAACTGACTTCGTTATCTTTCAAGGTTTCTCACGCTATGATATTGAACTCATTTGGAAACAGTCAGGTATAACATTACCTTTTGAAGAAATTTGGGAAGCATATAAGTCTCTCATCTCTCCTCGTTCATACCTTGAGATTCATATCATGACTAATACCATTAAAGTCAAAAATATTCCATGGGAACGACCAACATTATTTTAAAGCTTAACCTTCAATTGACTGATGGTAAACAAATTCCATGCATCTCTGTCGCCATTTCTGTTAATTAATACCTTAATTTTTAATATTACGCATTTTTAGGTGCAAAATTTAAAAACATTCTAATACAATAGAGCAGTTTCCAAAAGTAGCATACAGCATGCAAAGCTAAAGAAAGATAATCATAATTAATACCTTAATTTTTAATATTACGCATTTTTAGGTGCAAAATTTAAAAACATTCTAATACAATAGAGCAGTTTCCAAAAGTAGCATACAGCATGCAAAGCTAAAGAAAGATAATCATAATTAATACCTTAATTTTTAATATTACGCATTTTTAGGTGCAAAATTTAAAAACATTCTAATACAATAGAGCAGTTTCCAAAAGTAGCATACAGCATGCAAAGCTAAAGAAAGATAATCATAATTAATACCTTAATTTTTAATATTACGCATTTTTAGGTGCAAAATTTAAAAACATTCTAATACAATAGAGCAGTTTCCAAAAGTAGCATACAGCATGCAAAGCTAAAGAAAGATAATCATAATTAATACCTTAATTTTTAATATTACGCATTTTTAGGTGCAAAATTTAAAAACATTCTAATACAATAGAGCAGTTTCCAAAAGTAGCATACAGCATGCAAAGCTAAAGAAAGATAATCATAATTAATACCTTAATTTTTAATATTACGCATTTTTAGGTGCAAAATTTAAAAACATTCTAATACAATAGAGCAGTTTCCAAAAGTAGCATACAGCATGCAAAGCTAAAGAAAGATAATCATAATTAATACCTTAATTTTTAATATTACGCATTTTTAGGTGCAAAATTTAAAAACATTCTAATACAATAGAGCAGTTTCCAAAAGTAGCATACAGCATGCAAAGCTAAAGAAAGATAATCATAATTAATACCTTAATTTTTAATATTACGCATTTTTAGGTGCAAAATTTAAAAACATTCTAATACAATAGAGCAGTTTCCAAAAGTAGCATACAGCATGCAAAGCTAAAGAAAGATAATCATAATTAATACCTTTAAAGTTTAAAATCTTGATTTTTTTTAAAATCAAATATTTATAACTTTAATACATACAGCTTAAACCTTATACTTGTTTTCTCTTGTGAGAAAGCAATCTTACAAAGCTAACAATCCTAAAAAATAAAGAATTAAAATTTAATAATTTAATCTAAAATTAAAATCAAAATTAAATAAAATGAGTTCTTTGTAATAATACTTTCAAGGTAGGATATATTTTAGTGGGATCTATTGAGTCATCACTAACAGCATTGAGCAATCTATTGAGCATTGAAATACTCTCGATTTTTCTTTGTCTTTTTACATCAATTTCTGCGTTAGTTGCTTTTTCCATGATCCTAATGACACGGTCCTCTGCTGGATTTTGATCAATTTTGAGTTTGATAACGAAAGATGGTATCACTTTTGTATAAATTTCTATAATAACATCATCAATTCTGAGATTTTTTCGATCAGGAAAATAGTCATGTTTGAGTGTTCTAAAATGAGCTTCAGCAATATTGTTAGTTGCGTCGCCTTCACGCCTGTCACGAGCAATCAATCTTGATATGTTGTAACGCCATTGTCTGTTAAAGTATTGAGATGCTGTTGGATCTGTGTCGAGCAACTCCAGAACTTGATCATAGGCAGCATTTGCTTCTTCCTCATGTTCTGCATCTAATTTGAAGACTAAATCCTTCATCAAATTATAGAATTGTTCAAATTTTTCTTGAGAAGAAAACTTATTTGATTTGCGAAGAATTGCACGAAGAACATGTACTCCGCACCAAAGTATTTGAGCTTGTGGAATGCTTTCTTCTATTGCTTGAGCTATCTGTGGAGCACAGTCCATGCTAATGTATTCTGGCTCAATTGTTACCCATCTGAGATAGGCGCACACGCAAACTTGAATGTTTTGATAAGTGTCTGGTTGACAAAAGAAATATAAAAAAGGAAAAATGTGAAAATCTTTGATTTTGCCAGTAAATGCATACAATGGAATGTTTGATCGCAACAATTTATAGGTGCTGTCTATATGAAATGTCTTGATACTATGCGCATAAGCTTTGCCTTCAAAAGACGCGTAATAGAAACACATATAGGGTGTCCAAAGGTGCGTTTAGCACAGCGCTCTATATGAGACTATTAAAGGAGATATATGCTGATTATAAATATATAATAAAAAATATGAATATATGTATATGATGAGTAAGTTGTATTTTGGCGCCATGCCGGGATATAAAATGAATTTTGAGACAAGAGGCGGTTTCGCGGGAAATTTTGGCGGGATTTTTTTCATTTTTTTAATGAATCATAAAGAAAACATCCTCGCTCTTGCAAAAAAATGCAAAGACTGTAAAAAAATCTACGAGACATTGGTAAAATGCTTCGGTATGGATGCTTCTAGCTATTCCACTGTAACGTATGATGTTAGGATGTATCACTTCATGAACAAAAAGGCGCCCATCATAAAAATTGACAAAAAATCGCCGGATCAAAGAAAAATCAAAGCAATTCTTCAAGCGCTAGATGAAGACCCAAGAGCATCACTCAGAAGGATAGAGGAGATGACAAAGATACCACGTACAACAGTCAGTTATTATCTGCACAATTATTTGAACTACAAACTAGCGTATACACGTTGGGTTCCGCACAACCTTAATTCAGTTCAAAAAAAATCTAGAGTCCAATCTTCGAAAGAGCTCCTCTCTATATTGGGTGCGTATCAATCCAAGAAGTTTCGCTTTTTAGTAACAGGGGACGAGTCTTGGTTTCAATATGCAACAGAAGCCAAAATCATGTGGATCCCGAAGGATGAAAATCCGCAAACATTCCCGAAGAAAAAAATTGACACACCAATGATGATGTTGTCGGTTTTTTGGGGCGTGAATGGCATCATCGCAATTGATATTCTTCAAAAACCTAATACGATGAATGCTCAGTATCTAATTGACAATGTTCTTACTCAAATTATATTTTACTTGTTTTGTTGTTAAAATTGACAAATTAAACAACAATTTTCTGATTTATACATCATATTATTGTCTGAGACTTCAAATGCAATGAGATCATCTGGAGATTCTTCTTGTACTGTCTGAACAAAGATTTGCAATGACACAACATCGTCAGGAGAATATCTAGTTTGAAGAGCATGTATTCTCTCTGCAAATCGTTTGATTGCACGTGGTTTTTGAGCGTACATCTCTGGAATGGACGGACCTGTAAGAGGAATTTCAAGATCTTTGAATGCATTTAGCTGTGCTATCGCTCTTTGATTGTCATCTGTTTGGAAGTAATGTTCTAAATATTTGCGATAAAAGACAGACGAATATTGACTTTTGTCATTTGGGGCGGAATGATCATGTTCTTCAACTATTTTGATTAGTTTGTATTTATTTTGATCCAAGATTGCAACATTAAAATGTGCAGGACATTTTGGATATTTGCAGTGGAATGAAATCTGAAATCTTTCTTTCCTGACACGTTCACCATATCCATACTGTGCTTGTATTTCTTGTTTAACTCCAAATTTACAAAGATCCATAACAGTAAAGATAGTTTCTTCTTCTAATTCCATTTGAAATTGAAATGAAAATTAAAAATTCAGAAATTTGAATAGATTTGGTCTGTAATTAAATGAGAATAGCAGTTTGTTCGTCATTGTTTGAGGCAAGAGTATTATAGGAATATTATATGATGGATTTGAGTTGCATATAAAGAGTGCAAAAGGATAAAGAGAGAAATTTTGTTAGATTAAATTATTAAATTTTAATTCTTTATTTTTTAGGATTGTTAGCTTTGTAAGATTGCTTTCTCACAAGAGAAAACAAGTATAAGGTTTAAGCTGTATGTATTAAAGTTATAAATATTTGATTTTAAAAAAAATCAAGATTTTAAACTTTAAAGGTATTAATTATGATTATCTTTCTTTAGCTTTGCATGCTGTATGCTACTTTTGGAAACTGCTCTATTGTATTAGAATGTTTTTAAATTTTGCACCTAAAAATGCGTAATATTAAAAATTAAGGTATTAATTATGATTATCTTTCTTTAGCTTTGCATGCTGTATGCTACTTTTGGAAACTGCTCTATTGTATTAGAATGTTTTTAAATTTTGCACCTAAAAATGCGTAATATTAAAAATTAAGGTATTAATTATGATTATCTTTCTTTAGCTTTACATGCTGTATGCTACTTTTGTTTTTGAGACATTCCATGATTTAAGTTAAGAAGCTAAATTCTGAAGTTTACATGATCCTCTCGTGTGCACCCTTAAAAAAATGCAAAAAAATTGAATACTTTACTGGCTGGGCAAATTTGTCGCCGCCCCTTTTTAAAATTTTATTGTATGTAATGAAATAAACAAATATTAAAATTATTTTTTGATAATAAGAAAATTCCCAACAGAAAATATTTGAGACAAAGAAAAAAAGAAAATTGAAAAATATTACTCTTCTTTATATTTCATGAGATTTTAAATTTATTCTCATAAAATTGACAATTTTATACGTTTAGATGAAAATAAGTGATTTTGCTTGAAATAAAAGTTATTGTTTGCTTACTGTTGCATGCTAAGATCAGTCATAATGTAAACCTCTCAATTTTATTGTCGTGGGAAGTATCTCAATTCCTTCAAAAAAATTGAAAAACTATTTAATTTTAAAAATATAATACTTTTAATTAGTTAATTAATTGGAGATATTTTTAAAAAAATCACTTTTGATAATACTTTTGAGAACTTTAATTAAAAAAATATATTCAAAATATCCAGGATATCAAGAGGGAATTGTTCCTTATGAGGTATATAGTTATGATGTATACCTCATAAGGAACAATTCCCTCCTTAAAATGAGAAAACTTGTTCGAAATTGTTTATCATTTCGAACAAGTTTTTCTCGTTTTTAATAACAAACTAAAGGCTATGAGGCACTGATTATATATGAACAGCCTCACAGCTTTAGTTTCTAATAGATAGCTGGGAAACTTTCTCCAAATGATAAGTTATTCAGAGAAAGTTTCCCAGCTATCAAGAGGGAATTGTTCCTTATGAGGTATATAGTTATGATGTATACCTCATAAGGAACAATTCCCTCCTTAAAATCGTAGACATTTTTATACTTATTAATCAACCATTCAAAATCATATTCCTCTGAAAAGTTATTTTATTAAAAATTTAGAATTTTAATAAATATAGAGTTTGAATTTCATACAATACCTATATATTTTCAATAATGGAATTTGAAAACCATTCTCAAAAGTTCTCAGAAAACCTTTTTTCATTAATTTTAAGAAATCTTAGTATTAAATTAAGTGATAAATTCGTTTGATACTACTTTAATTTTTAAATTCAAAAAATTATATGTGCTTCTTAAAATGACTCAAAAAAATTTTATTATAAAATAATATATAATATTAAAAATCCCACAACATTTTTTTACTTTACATAATCGTACTTTCTCGACGATTAATTTCCACTCAATTTCTATCGTTGACCGAACTTAGCATGCAACATTACAGCTATCAAATAGATTTTTGCTATTTTGATTAAAATTTGTTAATCAAATTAATAATTTTTTTCAAAATATCTTAAATATCTGGATCACTCACTGATACAATGAATTGAACGATAAAAATAATACAAACTCAAATAAGTTTCCTGTTTTTTAACTAAAAAAAATTATGCAAATTAAATTAAATTGTTTATTCAAATATAAAGCAAAGATGAAGTAATTGCAGTTATCATAAACCTTATGAATAACTCTGTAATTGGTTCAGATTTTCGTAAAAATATTTTTATTAATATCGATAAGAATACGTTTACCTACTATCACAACATATCGATAAACAAGAGTAGAGTGATTTTTATCATCGAAACTTTTTAAAAGCTGTAAGCTGGAAGTAAAAATCTTGTTTTTTCTGAGTCAGTTGTAGAACTATTGATGTACGAGTTATCATTGTGATGTAGAAGGATGTCAATGTACTGACTGAAGGATATGAAGTGAATTGAATTTCATTGAATTTCAATTTGATCAAAATTTGTTGAAATGATATGAATGTGTCAACATCTGTATCACTCTCTTTCACTCCTTCCCTATTCTTTCGAGAACGAAGCTAGCTCAGCTTTCGCTGAGCGAATTGACACTTTTGATGCCCTAAACGTACATATTCTCAAATTTATCGAAAAAATTATACCACCCAAACTAGTATATTCTTATTTTAAATATGATATTATCCTTAGAAATCACACTAGAATATATTTAAATCAACTTTTAAAAAAGTTCGAATCCTGCGCGTCCCACTTTTTAAATTTTCCAAAAGGAAAATTATATTCTCCTAAAATGAAAACAATTTTCCGAATTGACATCCTTAGACTTGGCAATTCTGAGGTCATTTTGGCAATTCTTAAAAAATTCCCGGCGAAATTGGCGCCCTTCGGACGCCAATTTCGCCCAATAAGATACACATATCATAGTTATATGTATTTGGTTTTAGAACCTATTTTTTCTCCTTTTTCTTCATTTTATTTTTAATTTTTTTGTATTTTAATTTCTTTGTGAAAAATAATTCACTATCTGTTCATTTTGATGAGAGTCCTCTGCTATATTTTGTGAGCAGTTAAAAAAAATATTTTAAAAAATTATTGGAAATATAATAGAGTAGGTGCCAAAAGTGCTTACTCTTAAACAACCGTCGGATTTCCGGGTGAAATCGTGACACACTTTCGTCTTTCGTAGGCAGTGGTGGTTGTTACAAAAGGTAACTTCGAATGTAGCGTGAAATCTGCAAAAAAAATTCTGAAATTTGAATGGAGAACACAAAAATTGAATAGTTTACGTCAATAAAAAAGAGAAAAATGAAGCCAATGTGTCTCGAACCTAGGACTTAGAGCAGCAATCCCACTGTTTATCAAATTACACTACATGCATCTCTCACCTCAGTGAATGAGATCAACTATATGATAACTTTTTCCCCATTATATTCTTGTGGAAAAGTGACAAATAGCAACTTTGACCCTCTCTCAAATATAATAACAGAAATGCATTATATTATTGAGAATTGAATATCAGTTCAACAAATGTATCGTATTCACAAAAGAACTCCACAAAACAGTTCAAATGATTAATATTATTCCAAAATAATCAAAAATTTACATAATAATTCATGTAAGAAGGCCATATCAGACGTGAGAAAGAATTAGGCTTAAATTCGTGTTGACTAAACGAAACAATAAGTATAAATATTTTGCATTTTTAATAAATGAGCCTGATTTGATTTTAAAAATCATTAATAATGCCACCATTTTATTTCAAAAATATATAGAAACTAAAATATAGCATTCTTTTGCTTCTTTCAGACTTAAATAATGCAAAATTTACTAATTTTTTTCAAAACTTCGCTCATCCAAGAATTGCCAAGCTTGGCAATTCGTGATGAACAAAATTTGCGCTTTTGGCAGTTCCGACATCCTTAGGTGACTGAGTCGTAAAATTTTCAACTTTCCTCACAACAATTTAGAAATTTTAATGAGTCAAGGAATTGTTCCGAATTTCGAATATATTGGTGCTCATATCAAAGAATATATTGAACAAGGCATTCTCTTTGATACATTCGAGGTAGAAGACATTAAAGCGATTATGAAATATGCGAATTTAACTCCAAATGACTTTGATTCTCTTCTTCAACAGTCATCCATTGCTACAACAGCAAATAAAATATATTATTGCACTCGACAAACGAACATTTCAATAAAAAATTTTCAAGATGCAATTTCAACACTAAATTCTATCCAAAAATACATGAAAATGGAAATATTAGATAACATTATTGACACATTAAATCAAACAGGAAGAATGTTGTCAGATTCAGCGAATAAATTGGAAAAACAACAATCCGAGTTAAGTCAACTTCAAAACGAAAAAGGAAACATCGAGAAAGAGAATCGATCTCTTAGATCTCAATTGAGAGAAAAAGACGACATCGAGAAAGAGAATCGATCTCTAAGATCTCAACTGAGAGAAAAAGACGACATCGAGGAAGAAAATCGATCTCTTCGATCTCAATTGAGAGAAAAAGACGACATCGAGAAAGAAAATCAATCTCTTCGATCTCAACTGAGAGAAAAAGAAAATGTCGAGAAAGATAATCGATCTCTTAGATCTCAACTCAAAGAAAAAGAAAGTAATGATTTACCAAAAGAATTTCTTGATAAAGTTGCCCAACTTAAAAATTCTGGAAGCCTTTCGGAAGTCTACGATTTCCTTGATGAAATTTCACAAAATGGAAATCAAAAAATGATGTTCAAAGCATGCGAAGAAGGACTTTATGAAGTGAAAGGTAAATATGGTCAAAATGTACTTCATAATGCAGCAGCATGCGGAAATCTGAGACTTGTTAAATCTCTCGTTAGAGCTCGATGTTACATAGATGTATTGGATAAAGATGGATGGACTCCACTCATGTGGGCATCAAATAAAGGTCAGCTTGAAGTTGTTCATTATCTTGAATTTGCTGGAGCTTTTAGAGAAATAAGGGATAAAGATGGAAGACAGTTAAAAGATGTCGCAACAAAAGAAGTATGCGATAAAATATATTGCAAAACATATGATGGTCAATATGGTGAATTACGAATTTTGTTGCGTTGAATTAAAGAATAAGCCATTTGTTAGGCTTTACAAGCTGGGATAGCCAGTTGTACAAATAAAATTCACTCAATTTTTGAAAAAGTCAGCGCGAAAAATTTGATTCTTTTGATCTTCAAAATTATTGGAATCGAATTTTGTAAAATTCGATTCCAATAATTTTGAAGTGAAAAAAGAATTAAAATTTTTTCACTTTTTATTTATATCGAAATAGAAATCGACAATTAACAAAGCTTATGAGAAATTATTGTGCCAAGAAATATACTATTTCATAAATATTGCTAGAATTGCACTCATTAATGGCATTCTGTCAACGGGCGTATCCCATATTTAATAAGAAGAATGTTCTAGTGCAATATTAGAAAGATATAGCTGCTACCCCATTAAATGAATATAAGAAATTCAGAGGGAAGGGGAATTAAAGCTGTTTTTTGCTGTTTAAACATGTATAATTTAGCATATATGACGCGATACCTATTCAAATTGCTTCCAAAAATTTATTAAATTACAATACCGAAAAAGATATCTTTAATTAGGAGATTTTGCAATATTAAATTTCCAAAATAGATGAGTTTATAACAAAACATTTATAACGAAAATCGAACAAAAATTATAATAAATATAAAGGTTAAATTCTGCAAGCATGGCAACCACCTTCTGCAACATCTGGTTGGTTGAGATCTTCATTCTTTTGATTGTCAGCTTTCGGCTTTTCTGGGGTACTGACTTCATTATTATTACGATCAAGCCTTGCCATTGAATCTGTACGAGGAGGTGGCATATCTAATGGTATTTCAGATATGTGGGCAACCTGCTCTGGTGTAAAGCTTTCCCAATCGAAAAGAAACGGTGGAGTGCATAATCTGTCAATTGCCTTTTGTATGAGGAAATATATATGAGAGTATTGTGGTACTTCTTCGAAATCTAGTGCTCTGAGTCTACGATAAATATCGATAAATTCTTCCGGTAAGCCGCTGCATAAATCTGCCGCTCTTGTACGTCTCTTTAGCTGTTCTGTAGCCTCGCGATCTTTGCTGCCTGGCCATGGAACTCTTCCTTCAGCCAGTTCAATGACGGAATAAAACCAGGAGAGCATATCATCACGTCTTGAGAGTTCAAAACTGTCGTGTGCGTTAATTGAGGCATAACGGCAAGTTCCTGTAAATCCAGCATCACGGCTAAATGGAATATGTTCTCCGGTTAATTGGTTAATGTAAGATTTTGATAGACCAAAGTCAATCAAACAAACAGGACGTTCTCTATTGGCTCTGATTAAAAAGTTTGCTGGCTTGATGTCGCGATGTACAAATCCATGCCTGTGAAATTCTTCAATGCATTTTGCCATTTCTAATGATAAACGTAGCATAGAGTAGTTAGAGTAATGACGACCTTCACAAGCACGCCTCATATTTGATACAGATGGGCCAAACAAATCCATTACAAAATACCGACACTTATCATTTTGTCCTTTATCTAATAATTTGGGAAAATACGATGAATCTTGTAACTGTTCTAAAAATGCGATCTCATCGACCAAGCCTTGCTTTTCTGCTTCTAAATATTCAACTTTCATTGCATAATGTTTGTTATCACTGGCTGTTGTGTCAACAACGGTATAAATATCACCAAAACCGCCACTTCCTATGTGTTTAATGATCCTGTATTTATCTACTTCGGTTCCTTCTTCAAACTTTGGGCGATTCTTGGAGTCAGTCATAACAAAATTCAGGCTTTTTGAGATATTTACAAAACGTCAAATGCATAAAATCTAATTCTTCAGATAAAAAAATTTTACACGCAACAACCTTTTATTTATACAAGTAATATAAGTAGAAAAATAAATATTATCGTCCAGAAAAAATTGAGCAATAATTTTTTTATAAAAAGTACTTTTCAGAGTTCGATTTTTCAATTGTTTACACTTTTTAAAACACATATTCGTCTTTTTATCCAATTTAACAGTTATTTTACTGTTTTATCCATTTGCGACAACATCGATGTAATTACTTCATTCAATGAAATCAATGCCTATTCATGAAGAATTTTTATTCCACCTAATTACCTTTTTTTGGACTTAAAAGTATATTGTAAAGAAGTTTATGACTTTTTACAGCAATGTAACATATCCAAAAACATATTTGTCCAAATTTGACGCATTAAAGTTCAATTTTCTCCTTAGATATAGAATAAACATATGATCTGATTACCATATTATATAATCATGTTGGGCCTAGATAATTACATTAGTTTATACTTCAATAAGTACATTTTGAAATCTTCGACAACTTTTGAACCCAAATTTTATCAAGGAAATTAGATAAAATCAGTTAACTATCTATGTTACAAACATTTAACATCTTTAATAATCATTATTGATTCGTTTAACAAGATTTCAATCTTAAAAGGATTTCATTTACACAAACATCTAACATCTTTAATAATTATTATTGGTTAGTTTAACCCAGTCTTAGGAACTTATGTAGATCTTCAATGACAGGAGAATCCGTTGCTCAAATGTTTCAATTCTTGACAGAGAAAATCTATGAGGTTTTCCCTGACAGTATTATAACAGACTCAGAATTCCACCAGAACGATCAACCGGACTTCCAATGTTGGAAATTATTTTATATTTGAGCAGATATCAAAGATCATACTGTGCGCTTATGTTATTTAACTTTCCAATAAAGTTTGCATTGAATGAAATGAGACTCTTTGTTTTTCCTTGTTAGAAATAAGGATTTCTGTTATTTCTTTGTGATGTTTCTTGGATGCTACATGAAGAGAGGTCCATCCATCTTCATTTTTAGCATTGATATCTGCATTGTCTGAAATAAGAATTTCTGTCAATTCTTTACAATTATTGTCGGCTGCAAAATGAAGAGGAGACTGTAAAATTAACACTTTTTCGACTTTTTGTCGGGTGCGCGAAGTGACCAAAAAATATTGGAAAAGTGTAATTCTCTAGTATATTTTCCCTTTAATGCCGAGAGCATTTAAATCAAAAATAATCGTAAGCTAGAGAATTTGAGTTTTAGAATTGATATCTGCACCATTTGAAATAAATATTTCTGTTATTTCTTTACAATTATGGTCGGCTGCAAAATGAAGAGGAGTCTGTCCAACTTCATCTTTAGCATTGATATCTAGACCATTTGAAATTAAATATTCAACAAGTGATGACAGATGGAAATAAGGAGAATAAACAAGGCATTTGTTGATGTCATTTGCTTGATCCAAATAAATGAAAAATGATTGAATATTATTGTAGATCGAGCGCAATGCTAAATCAATTTTTATGTTGTGTTCATCCATCAAAAAAGTTACAAAATCAATATTATGTGATATTATTGCAAACTCCATGCATTCGTTACCTGTACAAAGCATTGTAGGCATCATGATATCCTGGAAAAATCCCCATCAATTTATCATAATGAGTTTGAATAATTTCTCCTTCAGACATCATCCATAATTTTTAAAACTATATGGGAAACGTACCTAATAACTTATATCACAATGCCAATTCTCCATATTTTAGTCTTTTCATCTAGAATCAACTTCCATTAATCGACCACAGTACATACTTTAGTCTTTTCATCAATAATCATTGCAAATTAAATTCTATTTTGATTTTATTTTATGAGACAAGCATTGCATGTCTGAATGAGTTGAATAACGTTTTGCAATCTATAGTGTGAAGGTAAAACCTACAACGATTCTTGAATTCTAATTTCGCTTGTATATATTGATAATATTAAAATATTTTTATGTAATTATGATTTTCACTTATAATTTATTGTCATATCCATTTATAATATAGTAGATTTACTACACAAGTCCAAAGTTAAGTAACAACAAATGAAACATATGATGTTTTAATTCAAATTTGATGTAAAAAATAATTTTATCGAGCAAGGATTCAATACAAGTTAGAATCTAAGTCGCGTCATTTCTCAAATTAGAAAACACTCATTTTGGAAATCATCATACTTTTATTAAGTCACTTTCCATGAAGCTTCATTCGATTATTTGTTGAGTTAGTCACTTTTCAAATGAATTCAAATACAATATCCAAATTATTAAGTATTGTAAATGAAATGAAAGAGCGTCCATTATGCCAACTATTTCAAAAATTCGATACAGATATACCATTTCAAAAAGGCGGACATACATTTCAACTTTCAAATTTTATTTCATTTGATAAGATTATTCAGAAGTTAAACTCCAACCAATATAACAACAAAGAAGAATGGTATGATGATATGAAGAAAGCTATATATCCTCATTGGGAACTTCAAAATTTAACAAAAGAAGAAACTGATTTATGCAAAAAACTTAATCGTGAATTAAACCATATGCTAGAGAAACATGTTGCTGGTTTAGGCCTTCTTCCTTCAACAAAATGGGGCGATATTATTTTTAATTTTCAAGACACTTTACAATGCGTTGTTGCTGATTCACCAAAAGTTTTCCAAATACCAAACAGATTAATTGTTAGAAAACCTAAAGTTCCTTCATTGCCAATTCGTGGCTATGAAGATTTAACAAAGGCAATTGCAAAATATCCTCAAGAGAAAATACCAGAAATATTAGAAATAATAAAGAATAATGAACCAGATATTAAAATCAACGATAATGGCGAGAATACAATTGAATTGATGGATCTCAAGGTTAATACAATCAGAGAAATACGAAAACACCTCAATAAGTTTTTCAAGAAACGCCATAACGAGAAATAGATATAATATTTGTTAAAATTTAATGATTTAATTCAACCAAATATAAATGTTGTTAAATTCATTAAATAACAGTTATATTAGAGAGCTTATTTCATGCATTGCATTATTTGTAATAATAAAATGAATTGTATGTAAATATTCTTATTTTTTCAATAAATTACCAAAAATAGAATGAATAATCCAGACATGTCCAAGTATTTAGGATGATAATATTGCATGGCTTGTTGAAACTTCATTTTATCATATGTTTTCATTTTTACTTATCAAATCATTTTCAAGTATATATGCATTAGATATTGGAAATGATGGAATCAGAGTTGGTGTAGCTTCCAATGAGAATGGAGTATTCATTCAGCCTTCTTCTCGCGGAACTAGATCTACTCCTAATGTTATTGGCATATTAAACGAAACAAGAGGCAATGAAACAAAGGAAAAAATCACATACGGTTTCGAAACTATCATTTCTGAATCAAGAAATAAATCGTCAGTACAAAAAAATCCATTCAATTACATCGTAAACCAAGATAGATACAAATTAACAGAATTACATCCTTCAGTCGCTTCTGCACTTCTTTTAAGGAGTGTTGTTCCTACAGTTTCTCAGAAAGATCAAATAATTTTTGCTGTTCCTTCTGCTAGTACACCACATTACAGATCATCGTTGCACGAACTTGCTCAGATATCAGGTTTTACAGATGTTGAAATCATAGATCAAAGTACAGCGCTTGCTTCACTTTATATCGCTGAAAGAGTTAACAGAACAGCAAGAAAACAAGAAACAGTATTATTTATCGAAATAGGTGTTTCTCAAATAGAGGTTACACTTTGGAAGTTCATTCCAATACCAAATCGCGTAAATATCACATTATTAAAATATCATTACACAGATAAGATCAGCGGCGAAAAAATAGACCAATTATTCGCAAGTTATATCAAGTCAAAGCTTTCTACTCACATTGATGAAGAAATTTTAATTAAAATCGGAAAGAAAGCAAAAGAAATGCTCACAACCGACAAATATGCAGAAGTATTTATCAACGAGTTGAATACAACCATTAATGTCACAAGAGATGAAGCTCGTGAAATTACAAAGCCAATAATCACAAAATTAAGAGAGATTCTGAAAGATTTCGAAGCACAAACAGTTGAAATATGTGGTGGAGCATCCAGATATTTCGCAATTAATGAGCTTTCCAAAGAAATTTTCGGAAATTCACTCAGAACAGATTTTGCAAGCCAAGACTCCATTGCTCTTGGTACAGCCTATTATTCAGCTATAAAGGCAAGAATTGCAGGCAATATGAAGCTTTTCATTGATAGAGATGCAATTTTTAATTATTATGTTAACAAAAGTGGCAAAACAGTTCAATTATTATCAGGCGGACAACCATATATTCGCAAATTCTTTAATGTCCTTGAAAAATCCAAGTTTGAATTCTATCTTAATGCAGATCTTCCGAAATCCCTTGAAACAACAGTTGACGTTGAAACTTCTAAACTTGCACATGGTTCATTTACACTTGTTTCGGTCGATGGATTCGATAAATTTGAAGGAAGAGCCGATAAAGATGGAAAATTTTTATTAAACATTACTTTGTTGCCAACACGAGGTTATGGTGAATACATTGTTACAAGTGTTACAGGACAACGTAGAAAGATGAATTTCGATGTCTCCGAGCGTTGTCCTGATGAAAAGAGAGCACCGAGTGGCGGCATTTTCGAGACAATGAAGAAAGAAGTTGCAATAATTAAAGCGAACAAACCATTAACAGCAAGATCCGAATTGGAAATGTTTTTGGCCGATGTTGAAGAGAGATTATTGTATGATTCAGATGCCGCTTACGTTGTTAAACCTGAAGAACAATCATCAGCATTGTCATATATCAATGAATGCCGTGTAAATATGACAACAATGAAGACAAAAAGACTCAGAAAATTGTTAAGTTCCAGCCAATTAAGATTAAATGAATTTTTAATAAGAAGTGATGAAAGAAAGGAAAGACCATTTGCTGCGGAATCACTCCAACAGGCAATAGACCATATAGAAAAGAGAATTCCGGATGCTACTTCTGATGATACAACAGTTAATTCTGTTAAAGATTTCATTCAAAATGCAAAGGATTACATGAAGATGGCTTTGGAAGTAGATAGATATTCGACACCTGTAATCCTTGCAAAGGATTTAAGAAGAAAAGCAGAAAGTGTCATGAAGAAAGAAACAGATCTTTTCGCAGGAAAAAGAGCATCAAATGCACAAGAATTGTAAAATAAAAGTTTATTGATTTCTAATTTTTGTTATATTTTTGCTTTAATTTAGGAAAAATTTTACTAATTTTGGAAAATTTCGCTATTTTTAGAGCAATTATGAAGCCAATTGATCATTTTCTCGATCCCATAGTGATTTTTTCTTTCAAATATTTATTATCTATTATGATTAGTACATTTTATAAATTTTCCAAATATATTTTTTAGGAAAAAAAAAGATGAGTTAGTAGATTGATTAGTATTTTACAATTTAGTATATAGTTTAGTTACATTTTACGCATTCTGGAGGGGGTAGTTACAACACGATACATTTTATTTTGAATTAAGCATATCTAATTGATTTCGTAGCATGATTACCCTTGCGTGAAGGTCCTGGTTTTTACGTATAAGTGCATCTACATTTTCAGCTGGTGGTGCTCCGATAACTTCTCTAATGAAAGCCAATGGATCAGCTGGTCGTGGATCTTCGCTATGGATACTAAACATTGCTTTATTGAGGGTTTCAATAACGTTACCTGCTTCTAAATATTTTCTGAATTGCTCCCTTTTCGACATCATTTCTTGAATAATTGTGGTTCCATCTGGTGAAATAACCCTAAATATGTAAAGTTCTAGCCAATTTTGTTTTTATGGTATAATTAATACACCAACTTGTTTCATATAAAATACAAACTCAAAACCATTAATTGCCAGGAAATTTGAAATGAATTCCATTACTGCAAATGATACACAGATTATAGGAATTAAATGAGAGTTGCCATTTCGAAATGATAGTAATATACAAGTTTAAACAAAACAGATAAAAGAAACAAAAAAATAATTTTGTAAATTAATCGCAAAAAATCAGTGGAAACCAGGTACAATGAGAGTTCTTCCATCAAATCTTGGCTTCGGCTTTTCAGGGATACCCCAAATGGATCGATCAGATCTTGATTTGAATACAGAAGAAGGAGCCTTTCGCTTTTGTGGGGGAGCGATGGTATAATCACTTGGACCTGGAGTTTGAGATGCTTCTTTTTCATCTGGATAGCATAAACAACGTCTTTGAAGAATTGGACTAATTGTAATTTTGAGTTCTGATGAGTGTTTTTCTGGTGTGTATTGAGAAGGAGCAGGGGTTTTCATTGCTTTTGAAGGCCATTCGAGCCTTCTGCGGATTTTTGACGTAAATCCTAAACCGTGCCCTCGAATTGATTCGACATGAAATGATGATGGTCGAGGCTCATATCTTCCTGGACCTGGAACATCGGGAAATCTTGCTTCGGGACGAGCAGGAGCTTGAGAACCAAATCCAAATGGTTGTTGAGGTTGTTCTGATAACACAGTATAGTATTTTTCGTTTGGCACAGATGTTGCACGTTGAGATCCAAATTTTACAGACGAGTTACTAAGATCACTCTTTGCTCTTGAATAACTCATCTCCTAAATAACGTATATTATAAATCCGTCACTTTTTCTGATTTTCCTCTAAACTAATCTAACATGAATTCAAGAATGAATCCGGAGATCAGTATTATGGAACTATATTTTAATAGACACAAAGTATATATTGGTGCTTATTAAGCTTATCAAATCGATGAATGTTTTTTTTCATGAAATATTTCTTATTGTTTATAGAATTCATAGCAAAGGTTAAACTACTAGATTCATTGTAGGACAATGTTGAATACGTTTCATGAGAATAAATTCAGGTAATTACTTAGTGAAATTGATTATTATCTGCCGAATTTTATAGAATTATGTCTGTTGAATGTGCATTAATATTGTAAAGACATTTTCAAACTGCTAAAGGCGTATAAATGAAAAATTTGGAAACGATATATGAAAATCATCAATATACTTGTCTTGGAATGAGATTAGTTTAACTTATACTTTTATAGCCGTTTTAATGTTTCAAATCAGTAATTTTTCAATAAAATGATATCCATTCTTGTTATTTGGGAAGTCAAGCTGATAAAGGATATTTTATTCTACTTTCGAATCAAAATAGAATAATAAAAAGTATTTTAAGTATGATATCAAATTAATTTTGACTGTTTAAATTCCATTTTTTCAATTTTCATATTGTCTATGGAATAATTGCGCAATTTTCGACTGTGCAGTAAATAAATGTCTATATTTATCTATTCTAACGTCTCAACCACTTTTAAACATATTTTTTATATGTGGTTGAATCTCAAGTTCAGCTATTATGCGTGTGTTTGCAAGTTTGAACCATAATTTATTATTTATGCAATACATAAATATTGTTGCGCTTCCAAACATAACGATCGATCTCATCTTTAATCCTCATCAATGCATTGCTTTTCGGAAAATCTTAAAATAAGCATTAAACCATAGTCATATAGAAGATATTAAAATATTGAACACATGCGTTCACTGTAGCTAACAAAATTTTGTTTACAAAATTTTTTGAATTTGAATAATATAAAGATATCAAATAATTATTATCAACAAAGGATGTAATGCTTGTTTAAGGAGATGTGATAAAACGAAATGAGCTTTACGGTCTTTTTTATTCATTGAAATTTATTATATTTATATGAATACCTATTAATAGTGAGTAAAATTTCTCTAAAGAAATTATATCTCACAATTAAAATTGAATTAAAGCTTTTACTGATATATTCAATTTTTTTGAGATTTCTTATTTTTTATATAAAATTTTTACTCGCCTTGTTAAATTGAAAGAAATAACTCTTGAAACGTGTAAGCTTTTCAATCTTTGAGAAATTTGAGGAAGAATTTTTACAATAACTCAAAGAAATGACTCCATTTTTGTTTCTATGTATTAATTAGACCTATCTTATGCATATAATATGGAAAAATCAAAATGTTGAATAAAATTTTTGAAGCTTAATATCATTATAATTTAATTAAATAGTTAATAATAACTCGACAAATTATTTTGATAAATATTTTTTGTATGATGATCCTTTTCAAATTTATCCTCTATCTCACCGAGCATATTGGCTTAGTATTTACCATAGTTTCAAAATATCAAATTTATTTAAATTGTCTAGATATAATTTTAATCAAATTGTGAGTAATTCAAAAAAGTGACACGACTACTTTTCGTTCACAAATTTCAGATCCTCTTTTCAAAACTCTCACAAAATTTTGAGAAACTTAAAAACTTATTACGCTCCCTCTTTTTGATCTATTTCATATCCTACCATCTATTATCCCAAAAAATTCACTTAACGAAATCCCAAAATTCTATTCATTTTGTTTATTTTTTTCAGTTTGTTAATTTTCACAAAAATTTGAATGTCATTCAATTATAAAGGAATTTAGCTCATTCCAATGAACTACTCCTTAGCTACTGGCCTTTTCCCTGTCTTCCCTGATGCCCATAAGCGCAACTCTACACAGTCCCAGAGAGATAACGAAAGAATAGAGAAGCGCAAGATGAAAAATGGACTCAAGACCGAATATATTTATGCCTACTTTAATAGGCTTATTGGCTCTCATGTAACATTTCCACTCCTTCTTAACTTTGCTAGAATCTTCTCCCAAGATCTTCAGATCAATATCGATCGTCTTGCTAAGAGAAATAGATCTGCCTTGCTATGCTGGTATGCAGAGAATTGGGACTCAATTAAGCCAGCTCTTAATAGAGTTGTTAAGGATCTAAACATCCAGTCCATCATTGGCAACCAAAATCATCCATCGACCACAAACGAGATCGTTATTTCCCATGTTAACAATCAAATGATTTGTGATCCATCTGATCTCACACAGCTTCTCAACTATCATTAATTTGTTTATATGTTTACCATGTTATTTCCATATGTTTATAATCACTGATATTAATAAATATGGATTCTTAAATATTAATTTTTTCATGAATTTATGCGTTTGGTCTATTATTCGAAATTATGTGACCGATATGCACATTTTGATATTTTGTATTGTTCAACACATCTCAACTAATTCTAAAATTCTAGAGAATTGTGGCAAAAATATTCGCTGTCAAACCCACCAGGCCAATTATTTGTTATCCAAGAGATTATTTATATCGATTTTTGTGTTATGCATAATTCAACAAAAAGTTTGATATCATACATCTACATGAGATAACAGTTCATCCACTCTATCGATTAATCTACAGAATAAATAAAGTCAACAATTTAAGCGATAACTGTAAATTAAGCGAGGTTCAGAAAAATTGAGAAGATATATAGCGACAATCCCTTATACAGGTCATGTGGCTGCAAATCTCCAATGATTCTATAGAGATGACGAAATAAGATTATAATTTAGTTGTATCTTTTGTAAAAAAGGGATTTTGCAAATAGTTTTGAGCTTATACGCATCATATAATGGCATATTTTCAAACGACTTTAACAATAATAAAGTAGTAGGATAGGAGGGTTGTGTGACTTTTTTTGTAAACGTAAGAATTCATGCAATATCGAGCGATTTTGTATCATTTTTTTTTTAACATATGAAGTAAAAAATGTATGATTCTTTAGGTTTTTATTCTCACATTTTTGAATAATTTATTTTTTAATTCGTAAGAAAGCGCGACATTATTAAATAAATTAGTAATAAATATTTATTTATAAATCATTAAAAAATGTAAGACATGAATTTTAAAATAATTTATTTTTTATCTTTTATAAAAGAAGCTATATATAGATGATGTCAGATATTCCGCGATTAATTAAACATTGTTTAAATCCTGAATGGAATCAATAAAGTCATAATCAAAGACCTCATAAACGAGAAGAAGAAATTGAAAATAATTATTTTCATGAATAAAAAATAAACTTTAAAATTCATGTCTCAGAATCAACATTGAACTTTAAAAAATTAATGATTATTTGAATTTATGAAATCAATTATTTGATTCATTCTTTCTTCAATCTCTTCTATTCTTTTTGTTAAATCATCTATTTTCATTAATGAGGTGATTCTTGATTGAGGAATAGATTTCAAACTAACCACTCCTTTTATTTTTGAAATTTTGAATCCATCAACTTTAAACATTTTATTCAATTTACACGTTGTCAATTCTTCAAATAATTTTTTATTGTTAGCATAATAGTCATTAAATTCTTCAACAGATGAAAAAATTTTTATTTCAGTAATTGGTTTAACAATGTTTATTTTTTGTTGAACATCTTTACTTTCATTTATTTCTTCCTCCTCTGTTTCATTTATTTTTAAAATTGGTTTCATTTATCATTAAATAAAAATTAGAATATAAGTGATGAAATATATTTTTTAATTAATATTAAATCAACTATGGCTGCAGGATTCTTTAAAAAATTATGGGAAGGAATTAAGAAAGCTGCGGGTTGGGTTCATAAAAATATTATTAAACCCGTTGCAAACTTTTTGGCACCAGTAGCGAAAACGGCAGGAACTATCATAGGTGGAGTATTAGGTACTAAAGCAGGTAATCCGGCGATGGGAGCACAAGCAGGTAACGCAATTGGTGGAATTGCTGAAGGAATACTTAATAAAATAGGAGGTAGATAGTGGAAAAATAAATAAATATTATTTTTATCTTAGTATCGGTTGAAGTCTTTGATAAACTTTTTCTCCTTTATTTAATATTTCTCTTATTGGGGCGGCTTTTGGTGTTATTGATTCAGCAACGTCACTAATTGCTTCTTTATTCTTAAATATCCAATTTGCTCCTTTCTTCATTGTTTCCCAAACTTTATGCGCTCCTCTTTTTACTTTATCCCACAGTTTCTTAAAGAATCCTGCAGCCATAGTTGATTATTTCATTAAAATTAAAAATTCATTTTCATCTTTTAATTTTGATTTTTTATTTATTAATAAATGACGACAAACTATTTGGTGCCAAACACTAAACCGATTAATGGAAATGTGTTTCATTCATTCGAAAAGATAAATGAAATATTCGCAAAGAATGACGGTAGAAGATATTATAGAGAACTTGAAAGTTCATGCTATGACTCTGATGCTCCATATTTTGATGATAAACAAACTCATTTAAGAATTACAAATCCAGCTCATGATGTGAATCAATTAGGTGACACATATATTAAACGCAAAGTTAAAGCAACTCTAGTTTCAAATAAAGCTTTCACATGTGATGCCACTTTTAAATGCATGCGTTTATTCGTTGGTTACAAATCATCAAATCAAAGCTTTAAACAATTAGAAGTAGAAACCGAAAGAGGTGATGCCGGTTATCTTCAGATGGATTGCGCCCGTGAATCTTTCGCATTTGCAACATATAAACCAAAATCAGAAAGGAAAGTTAAAAAGTTTGTTCATTCGTTATATAATAATGTTCAAAAATATGATAACTCAGTATGTGGTAAATATATTGACCCTTCAGAAGTTTTCAAGAAAGCAAATGAAGAAGTTGATGTCACTTTTGATATGATTATTCCGGTAAATGATTTGTTAGCATTTCAGGCGTTCGATGATTATCCTAAATCATTTGGTGATATCATTCTTAAATATTATGTTTTCAGGGATACTTTAGTATTTTGTCAGGTTGACCCGTTAAGAGTTGCTGATTTACAAAATTACGTTTATGAAAAGATAACTGATGAAAATTATGAAAAGATTATGAATCATGTTTATAAATATGATCGCAAATTCCAACAAATCGGACTTCCTGCCAAATTAATTACAAGCTTAGCCACTACATCTGCTGACGCAACAGTTGATGACGTTATTATTTCATGCACAAAGATGGAAGTTTTAGAGGATAAATGCATTACACCAGGATACGGTTTAATTGAAGAATCAGTTAAAGCAATACCACGTTTATTCAGTAAGGAAGATCCATTCATGATTCCAGCTCAACATATTGACGTTCGTTCACTAAATGGAGGTTGCATCACTCCTGAAGGTATTAGCTCAGATTTCTCATACGCTCTTCATAATGTTACAGATGTTGTGTTAACATTTCCGAAGAATGCAATGCAAAGAACGCTTTTAGAAAATCCAATGCTTCGAGGTCTTCAGGTCACTATAGATTCCAGAAACTTCCCCGATCAAGCGATGACCACAGTGGGTGACATATTCTTTACACGTATGCTTCAAGCTTCTGATTTAGATGGAGTGAATGAATGCACAGAAGAATACGAGGACTCATTAACTAGACCACTGAATGATGATGATGGCACACCATTAGCTAGAACATGGAAAGACCAAACTTCATTCTTATGCACTATTCCAGTTCAACGTGATGGAGCGGGTATATTCTTTGATGGATTAGAAACTTTCAACTCACAAGTTACAGTACAAGTGAAAGCTTATCCAATCATTCAGGGTGTAAATGACACTTACTGTTCAAAGGTGACAAATCCTCCTCAGGTTTGGTTTACTAGGACTACGTATTGGACATGGACACCGGATGAAGGTTTGAAATATCATCCAACAGGTACACCACCACAGTATAGAAGTTCATATGATGAAATATTGATGAATAGAAATGTTTAAAATTATAAATTTATTTTTGATTAAATGGATTTAAATTCATCCACCCCTTATGAAGAATTAGCGGGAGTATATAATACATACGTAGATGATATGATTAATGAAGCATTGAGTGATAATAGAAATGCTCTATCTAAGGAAAAATTAATGAAAATTCCATATTCTGAATGTTACTTAAATTCAATCACTGCAGCAATTGGTAAACAGAATAAAGGTAAAACATTAACGATATTAAAACAAATTATCATTATTGCTAACACTTCCCCCCATTCACATGTGTTAATTTATATCAACCGTTCAGGTTCACCTTCAGATGATACATTTGAATCTTTAAAGCATTTAATCAAAATTCCAATTATTTATTTATCACAAGAAGAAGCAGAAGATTATTTAAAAAACTTTTTAATGTATAAAGAATTATATAATACAATCAAGAAGCAAGGATTAGAGGATAAAATTATTGATAAACAACGAGATGAATTATTTGAAACACTTTCTATTTCAAATTTTGATAGAGAATTTTTGCATTCACTCATTTTTCTAGATGATGCAGTGAAATCAAAACTAATAACAAATGAGAAATCATATTTTAATCAATTATTAACTCAATGTCGACACATTCAGTGTTCATTCTTTATGGCTGTTCAATACTTCAAAGCATTAAGCACAAACATTAAATCAAATCTATCAACACTTTTCATTTTCAGTGGGTTTAGTCGTCAACAGTTGAACGTTATGCTTTATCAAGTGAATTTACCAATGAGCATTAATGAACTTTACACACAAATATCAGCAATTAGGTGAACATGGGAAAATAATAGTTGATTTAAATAAAGGAAGTGTTAAATTTGATTAACTTTTTATAATTAATTTTTATTTTTATTTATAATTAAACATGACAGAAATGGCAAATCTTCTACAGGTTCCATTAAAACAAGGGACAAACAAAAAGGGTGCATATAATAGAACTATGAAAGTTCCTGATGGAATGAAAGAATTAGTTCATATTGTTGCTGGTCTTCAAAAAGATGTTAAACAAATGAGAAACGTTTTAACATTACCAGAAGCTCAAGCATATGCCAAACGTCAAGGTCCAAATTGGGAAGCACACGAAGCAGACATTACAGGTCCAAATGGAAAACCTGATGGTATAAATGAAGTTTTCGTTACTGATGGTCAAGGTAATATTAAAGTCATAAATGGTTACAAATTAACTATAACCGATTATCCTAAACGTAAAGCATATAATGAACGTTATCCTATGCAATTTGATGAAAATGGAAAAGCTGTTAAACAATACATTGGAGAAGGTGAAAATGGTCCAATTAATTCATACCGTCATAATCCATATTCTTATTTCAATGAAGAATTAAATGCTATTGAAGAGGGACCGGATGGATTACCACGATATTCTAACCAGTTTGATGGTCAATATGCAAACATTAGACCTGAAATTTCAGCTAAAAATTCTTTAAAGTTGCTTTATTTGATCCAGTTTTCGCAAATGTTAAAGATGAACTTAAACAGCAATTCCAACCAATTATAGTAGCAAGAATTGCATCAGGTGCTTTATCTCAAGCATTCAAAGATTTAATTAAGAAACCATTATATCAGCAACGTGGTTTAACTTATGATTTAGTTAAGGAATCAGATAAAAGAAAATTTGAGAAATCAGATGATTATAAGAATGCAATTAATGAATATATTAAGTCTATTAATTTCGATGAAAATGCTAAAAATCAACTTCATGAACAAATACAGGAAATAATAGATTCAAAAGTTCCAGCAAAATAAAAGTTCCAGCAAAATAAAAGTTCCAGCAAAATAAAAGTTTAAATATATTTTTTATTCGATTATAAATGAGAAGACGTTTCACTAGTCAAAAGAACACTAACGCAAAAGCAGAGATTACGGTTGGTTATAACGTAAATGATGATAAATCACGAATTATTCAAAATGTTAAAGTTAATGTTAGCCCCGAATTAACAAGGTCGGCAACTCAACCAAATTTATTAACTCGTGACTTACCGAAGAATGAGGAGAATGAAGAAAACCATGAGAATGGAGACCCAATCATTTTATCTGAACCCAGTAAAGAACCTGTTGAAATTCCCACTTATCCAACATACCCCCCACCTCTTTCATCAAACATCGAGAACCCATATAAAATAGACATTAATTCTGAATTAATGAAAATTTACCGTGATATAATAATTAATAATTATGATTCAATAATAAATTTAATTGACCAATCCGGTTTAATTATTTTACCTTATGAATCATTAATTCACATTATCGCCATTCTTTGTGATGTTCAAGATTCAGACGTTAAGATTCAATTTTTCATAGATGATGAGGTTTCATGCTGTGGAACAGTTGCAAAAATAAATCCTATAAAGGATATTAGCATAATTAAGATATCAAAGAACGGAACAACAACTGAACTTCATTTAACATATAATGATATTTATAATAAAATAGTTGATGAATATAAAATATCACTTGAAAAATTCTTTGTTAAGGCTATTTAATATTCAAGCATTAACATTATCGAATAATAATCCTTTGAATCATAATCAATAATAATTGACCTTTCACCAGTTTCTATCGTTTGTTTTATTTCTTTTTGTTCCCCACTATCCGGATCGGTCATTGTAATTGTTTTTGTTATAGTATCAGCTTTATTTTTAACTTCAATCTTTTTTCCATCGGGATATTTAAACCAAAATTCCAAAAATTCGATATTGTCAATCTGTTCATATTTTAATCTATCAATTACATTTTTAATACCATCTGAAAATCTTATGAAATGGTCATTATATGGGTTTGATTGAACTAAATTTGAATGAAGTGAAATATAACCTGTTGATGAATATGACATTGACTCATATTTTCTGAAAACACTAAAATTTATAACATGAATGAATTTCTTATTCGTTGAATTTATGAATTCTTGAGGTAATCTTATTCTAGTTTTATTTATCACTGGAAAATAACGCTTTACCATATTTTTAATCGTAATAAAAATGTCAATTATCAATATTATTTCGAATAATAGTTGTGAATTAAATTTAACAGTTAGCGGAATTTATAATGTTACTCTCGTTTCTGTGAGTGGTAAATTTAATCCCATTCTTTTAGACCCTTCAGATTATATATCATTTATTAAAGATGACCTTGGAAAAACGTATGATATGTATATAAATAATGTGATAGCGAAATGGGATATTAACATGATTTTAAGTTATTTAAATGAATCATTTATCGTATGGTATGAAGAAAATTTTAAATCAAAACCCGATAAACTTTTTGAACTTGATGAAATAAATAACCTTATTAAATTTCCGCTGAAAATTAAATTTTGTACTCCTCATCTTCGTTCATTGTTGGGAATATTAAATTTTGAAAAAGATGTTGGGGATGTTTTGTATTCTGACACCGGTTCCAATTTCATTTTAATCAAATGTGATAAAGTTAATACCCCAATGAAATTTTCACATCAAACATTAGACCCTAACTCTTACCCATCAATACAAAACATTTTATCCATCAACTTAAACACATTTTCTTTATCATATCCGTTTCAATTATCCGGGAATTCATTTATTCTTCATTCAAAAGATTTATCAAATATTAAATTTAGAATAACTGACCTATTTGATTGTGATTTAAAATTCATGAATGAAATATTATGGCAATTTCAAATAGAAAAAATAGGTGATGAGATAACAGATTAAATATTTATTTTTAAATCATAATAAATGATTAAACAACAGCAACCACAACAACTTAAGGCACAAAGCACCCAGGTCCCTCAGACCATTACATACGCCATATATGCATATAATTCAAAGACGGCAGAACAAACGCAAAGGTTGAAATATGGAGATTTGGAGATAGTATTGAAAAATGAACATTTCGAATTCGTTTGCAAAGGTGGTGCAGTGATATCAAATATAAAAGAAATTTTATTTATGAATTCAAAAATTAAAGGTATAACGGATGATATAACATCAATTCCACCAGAAGAACAGAGATATTACGCGTTAAATGCATTTCCTAAAGTTTTGAAGATTGGAAGATTTAATTTAAATGAGGAATTCATAGAAGGTTTCCTAAATGACATAATGAAGAAGGTGGATAAAGAATACGTGGATAGTGAGTTAAATAAGAAGGCAGATAAGGAATACGTGGATGAAAAAGATAATGAAATTAAAGAAATGGTTGAATGGTATCATGAATGGACATCAAAGATTTTAAAAACTAAAGCCGATACAGGATGGGTTTCAGGATGTTTAGACCTTAAAGCGGATAAAACATATGTTAACGATGAGTTAAATAAGAAGGCAGATAAGGAATATGTGGATAGTGAGTTAAATAAGAAAGCTGACAAAACATAGCTTCAAACATTAAAGACTGAAATACTTCAAACATTATATCCTGTTGGTTCTATTTATACATCAATGAACTCAACAAATCCTTCAGAAGTTTTAGGTTTTGGTGAATGGAAGCAGATTGTAGACAAATTCTTATACTGTGCTAGATATTCAAAGACGGCAGGAGGTTCGAAGAAAATTAAAGAAGCAAACCTTCCACCGCACACTCATACAGGAACGACAAACACAACAGGTAATCATTCACATTCAATAACAAAAAGAGGTTATATAAATCTTGCAGCGGGTTCGGATAGATGGGGAATGAATAGATATGATATCACAACTGACCCAGTAGATTCAAGCACAGGTATTTTCTGTGGAACCGCAGGTAATCATTCACACACTTTCACAACAAATCCAACAGGCTCGGGTAAAGATTATATGCCTCCATTTATGACTGTATTCGCATGGTACCGCGTTCATTGAATGTGCTTGAGATTTGACTTTTGGGTCAAGGCTTACCGAATGAACTAAATATATTTTATGTCTGTAATTAATTAGGTAATGAAGTAATGGATGAACTGCAGAAATAAATGTTTACGTTAATGGTTACGTTAAGTGACTCAAAGAGTCCGGAGACAAAGTCTCATGATTTAGGTCATTCAATAATTAATTATTTTTGAAGAACTGAAGGTGCTACCATGTTACCATGTGCTACCAGGTCAATGAACTTCTCTGAAAAAATGAGACAACATGACATTTAGACAACAACACAGGAGGAAGGCAGTTATGAATTATTTTTGAAGAACTGAAGGTGCTACCATGTTACCATGTGCTACCAGGTCAATGAACTTCTCTGAAAAATGAGACAACATGACATTTAGACAACAACACAGGAGGAAGGCAGTTATGAATTATTTTTGAAGAACTGAAGGTGCTACCATGTTACCATGTGCTACCAGGTCAATGAACTTCTCTGAAAAAATGAGACAACATGACATTTAGACAACAACACAGGAGGATTAATGCAAAAATAAATTCAAATCATACTTTATAATGCTTCATTTACAGGTATTTCATCGTCAGTAAATGAATCCTCATTATCGTTTGGTTCAACCTGTTTATATAATCCTTTCATTTCTTCTTTTCAAAACATAACACCATGTTTGTTTACCGTCTATTCTTCTATGTTTCCTATCACATTTATCCTTAATACTCATTTGGAAATTCTTGTCTTTCATGTCTGATGGTTTGCAGAATAGAGCATTTTCACACGTCATACCCGCACACAATTCATCATAATGTGTATTTATCCATACATCTAAAGGATTTGTTGATAATTCAATTAAATCTTGTTTGGCTTCAGTCATCGGTATGATTCGTACATTAAATGATGAAAGGTCGTAATTGATAAAATATGTTAAAAGGTTATCATAAAATTCCTTTGTGCATGAATCCATTAAATTCTTGAAGTAATCAAATTGACCCTTGAATTTACCATTAACTCTTAAAACTACGTATCTTCTGTCTCCAACATCAATTTTGACGGGGTAGACGTTATTAGTTACGAAAATGAAATTGGCAACATTCTGAGCTGTTCTTCTGGGTTGATTCTTTTCATTAATTCTAATCTCATTATCCGTAATAATTGATTTCAAAGCGTTGAAGTTTGCAAGTCTGTCTTCACCAACATTCTTGAGTTCATTAAGTACAAGAAACATTTTATTTTCAACTACTGAGTTGAAATTACCCGTTAGCTCACCTATTTCGGTAATGTTTTTACATGAATAACCAGCGAGAAGTTCAGAAATAATGTCCGTGAATCTGTTTTTACCTGTTCCCTGAAGTCCTTTCAAAATAATTGCTGTTTCATTCTTGATTCCAGGATGTTGAATCATTGATGCAATCCAGCCGAGAAGGTATTTATACACTTCATCGTTATTATCGCATATGGCTTCTTTAATGAAATTCATAAACATCTCAATTTTTGAGTAATCTACTTTTTCGAGAACGTTGTATTTATAACCTTGAAACGTTGAGAAACATCTGGGGAATCAGATTTAAAGCAAACACCCTTAACGGTTAATGAAGACAATTGATTTAGTAGTACGTCCCATGCTGTTATTGTTTTACCTTCTTCTTTAAATAATTTAATCATTTTGAGTGACTCTTTCATGTTTGACTGAAGAACGAATGATATTTGATTCATTTTATCGTGTATGTTGTAATCTTTCTGAATGAAATATTTGTTTCCACAATCTACAAAACGGATTACACGTGATAAATCCTCAATTACTTCAGAACTGTTTTTATACTGATGATTTTCAGCCTTGCGTCTAATATCTGTTATCAAAAACGAGTCATCAAGTTTTATATCAAATGTTATTTTTGGCTTACGTAATAAAGGTAAAACATATTCATCATAATATTCCTTTTGATATAGTTTTAGAATCTTTACCAAAACAAATGGTGAAGTCATTAAATGTGCATATCTACTACGTGCTTTTTCAAAATTACTTTTTGCATTTTCAGTTAAACTGCAGAAGTTATAAACGTTATCGTATGCTTCATTAATCAAATGATTAGGTAACGAATTAATAGCTTGAAACAGTGTGAATAATGTAACTTCTTTTTCTAAATTCATGTTTCCGCCGTCATTATGTACTTCAAAATCACAGATGCCATCAACTATGCTCTGGGCAAGTTTATCGTCAATGTTTACATCTTTGTTTTCATTCATGATAGTCTTTATTTCTTCGTTCTTCTGTTCAACTCTTACCTTAATATTCAAATCATTTAATATATCATTCACTGTTCTAGTTAATGTTGAATCGTAACTTCCACGAATGAATGAGTATGTATTGATTGGTTCTGTTGCATTCTTTCGAACTCTTGAATCAGCCATAACCACTAAAGAACGCTTTGATTCATCCATAGAAGTCATTATATCAATATCATAATCATTGCAGGAATAACATTTAATCATTCTGTTCGAAACTGAATAGAAGAAATTAGTGTTGCAATAAATGTGAAGACCTCCTGAAGCGGTTTTAACGATAACATCTTTATCCGAAAGTTTTGATAAAATATCTTTTCTAACTGTTTCTTTAAGTTCATCATTGTATGATTTATTGATATCAACATCTATAATCGTTAAATTTTGAATTTTATTTACTAATAAAGCCATACCAGTTTTCCTTCCTCTTCCTCCATCATGTTTGAGGTAGTTATGTAAATCAATCTTGTTTTCACCAATTCTTTCGTTGAGGGTTTTAGTTTCTGCCACAACTAATTCCTCAACTAATGAATCAATAACTTTTTCATCAGAAGCGATATAGTTGCTGATGTTGTTTGTTGCCGTCATTTATATAGGAATAAAAAAAAATAAAAATAATTTTAAAACTAACTTTATTTTTGGACTGCATCAAATTTCCTGTGTTGTTGTCTAAATGTCATGTTGTCTCATTTTTTCAGAGAAGTTCATTGACCTGGTAGCACATGGTAACATGGTAGCACCTTCAGTTCTTCAAAAATAATTCATAACTGCCTTCCTCCTGTGTTGTTGTCTAAATGTCATGTTGTCTCATTTTTTCAGAGAAGTTCATTGACCTGGTAGCACATGGTAACATGGTAGCACCTTCAGTTCTTCAAAAATAATTCAAATCATAACACCATGTTTGTTTACCGTCTATTCTTCTCTGATGTTGACATTACTGTCATTTCATACAAAATAAAAATAATTTTAAAACTAACTTTATTTTCTGACTTTCACAAAAGACCAAAAATAAACGCTTTACATGTATTTTTCAGCAACTTCCTCAAATAATTTTATAGCTTTATCTATCTCATCTACTTCAAACGTTTCTTTACCTTTCATGGGAGCACCATACCTTTTCTCAAACTTTTCAAGTAGTTCTGTTTCAGCAGCTCTCATATCATTAACGAACACAACCTTGACTCTATTGACTGTACTGTCATATCTTTGAGTTATATTATATGTTCTTCCTATCTTATATCTCTTTGTATTGAAGTCCTTCGGTTTCTGAACGATGTAAAGTAAGCCTTCACTGCAACGTTCCGTATCGAATGAACCATAAGATAGGAAGTTATATCCAACAACTGGGTCTAACCATAACAAAACTATTGGTATAAGACTTTTGTCTATAAGATATGCTCTTGTTCCATGAAATGCTACTGATATCATAAGCTCAGGATTTCTTGTCAAAATTTTCTGAGTAGAAGCAATTCTAACCCAGTCCTTTGTTTTCTTTCCGGATGGTGTTATAATGTCTGACAAAGAATATTTGTTGTATTTCTTTGAGTATCTTACGTTTAAATTACCTATTCTAACCTCTTTGGTGTCATTGTCAATCTTTCTAACTGTTTCAAACTCAATGTTTGACATTACTGTCTTTACATACAAAATAAAAAATTTTCTTAGAAAAAACTAACTTTATTTTTCTAACTAATGAAATTCATGAAATTTGGTCATTTTTCAGACAAAAATAATGTTGTCTAAATGTCATGTTGTCACAAACTTTAGAACGGCATAATTTAAATTTTTATTTTTATCATAAATGAATACCCCACAAGCTCAAAATTTACCACGAATCATAACAAGGGAGGAAATGATAAAAATGATGCGAGAACTTGCTAAAAATAACAAACCACTAAAACTGAGAAAATGTGGTTATGCAGTAATGATGGAAAGAGAGATGTTGTCGAAGAGGAATAAAAATTAAATTTGGATTGAGTTTAAAAATTCATCTCTTCCAACCAATTTATTTATTCTATTAAATTCTTTTATTTTTGCTTCACCCAGTTTAATGATTGAACAATAAGTTTCTAATTTTTCGATTATTTCTTTTTATATTCATCTTCTGGACTCTTGACTGCTTCGTTGTCACTCATTTCTTACGAAATAAAAAAAATTAAATATTATTTAAATATAATGGAGTAATAAAATAAATCGGAATTTCTATTAATTTATTGTTAACTTCAACTAATGCATTGCCGTTAATATA